TAAATAAACATTAATATATAATATTTGATACTCATGATTTAGCATGATTTTTTTCAACAACAAAAAAGAGATGTATGAATAATTAAGTAAATCGAAGTTGCTTCAGTCCATTAGCTGTTATCTTGAGATATTACAAACAACATAGGCTACAAGATATTCTTACATTTACTTTATAAAAATCACTAAAGATTTCCCATCAAAAAGACACATAAACAAAAACCTATGATACAGTGTATAGGGCTAAAACATGTTCAATTTCTTTCCAGTTGTATTATTATTATTATTACAAAGTTAATTCTGCAAGCAGTCAGTGATCCATACGCACCTCTCTGATGATGTTGAGTCGGGCTCTATCAAGTCCTGCAGGGCTGGAGGGATGGTTTTTCCTCCGTCTGCGTGCGAGAGCTTTTTCTCTTAATTCCCACTGTGCCACGACTTTATTCTGAGATCTGTGCATCTCATGACGCCGGGCCTGAGAGGAGATCAATGCAAAGAGAAAGATGCATTAATAAAAGCATAAGAATAAACTTAAAAGCTTTAGGTTAGATTAGATAATGCCTTTATTCGTCTCACAAGTAAGGAATATCATACAGCATGACAAGGAAAAATACAGCATGACAAGAGGAGAGGCGAGGAGAAAAAGGGCAACCCCCAGACTATGCTTCTCTAATAGTACAGCGAGGGAACAGGAAATAATCACCTCAGCAACATTAGTACACAATCAGTACACTCTACATGAACAAGACTTGTAACAAGGATGAGGGGTGGGGGTGAGGGTAGCCTAGCACAGGCAAGCACCCATCCGGTCCTGAAGCCATTTCAGGCACTGGTCACAGACCCACCTGTCAGACTGGGGGTACAAAGTGGCAAACGCGAGGGACAGGGTATGGGACTACGTGCCTCAGTCTGCAGGATTGTCATACCGATACACAGCAAGTTGCCATGGAGACAACCTTGATCAGGTTCCAGACAGAGTCAACAATTACCAGTCGGGCTCCACCGAATCCCAGCTTTCTCGTCGAGAAGATGGTGTCAATTGCATTTGGATACCAGTTGGTTAAATCCATGATTTCTTAGTTTGGAGAGCAGTGCTGAGAAAGTCTCTCAAAGAACAAGACAGTAGACTAGATGTGACGAGAAGGGCAAAGCAGGGGAGGTAAGAGGAGGGAGAGGGATAGAGAGAAAATGCGACCGCCTTCGTTGAGAGCAAGAGAAACATAGTTTGCTTTAACAGTAAACTTACCAGTTCCTCTGGTGTGGCTTTATGCAATGAAAGATCATTGACTGTGTCCTAAAAGAAAAAGGAAAAGAGAGAAATGATAAGACACCACTTCCCAAAAAAAAAAAAAAGAAGAAGGGTTTAAACGTGTAATTTGTTGCATGAAGGTTTCTCACCACCCATTCTTTCTTTGGTGCAGACTTCTTGGTTCGCACTGGTCTTTTACCCACACCATATAAAGGACGGTTCACTCGCACTAAAGACATCTCACAGTAACAGACACCTATGGAAACAAAACATATTATTGTTGGACAAAATATACGCCATAATAAACTAATAATAAAGTGTGCACTTAAACAGGAGTAGTTTTCTGTATCTGCAGAACATTGAGCGTTATGGAAATGATGGTTATTGTTTTTAAAAAACCGTATCTTTACGAATTATTAAGCTTATCTATTCATTAGGCACACGTATGCTAAAAATTCAAACACATCCTGGCTAACTTAGCTAATCGTGCATAATGAATGACGACACGGTTGGCTTGGTATTGACAAAATATAAACTTTTTTTACCTGAAACTGACAGAAAATTAGCGGACAAAGATTTTACCGTTTGTTTTAGTTGGTGTTGTAGTAACAGGATTGCGGAAGCGTTGATCTGGACAAATTTAAAAGCACCGCTACAACACAGTTTAAAATAAAAGTCCCCGCGTGCTCTGTGGCTATAAAATAACATTTTAATTTTGTTTCTCGGAGACTAGAATATTTCTAAAAAAGAAAAGAAAAAGGTAAGGAAATATCATAAGAAGCTATAGATAGGTTAAATGTTGTCTTTGATACGTTTTTATATTTTTATTACTTTCCTGAAATACTTCCTGAAAATATTTGTCCACCAGAGTGCGCTAGAATGTCGCCTTAAAATTTTTTTTAGTTCCGAGTCTGCAGTCTGCACGCCTTCCCACTTGAGAAGTCTCGAAGAACAAGATCGTCTTGTGTTTAAATAGAAACTAAAATAAATGTAATATAACACCGAGAACATTCCTAACCATTTTTTTTTTTTTTACATTTTACTTCTTTTGAACACAAATGAATGTATTGTGAAGAATGTCGATAACCAAACAGTTGATGGACCCAAGTAGTGTTTCCCTCCATACTGGAAGTCAGTGGGGCTCATCAACTGTTTGGTTACATATTCTTCAAAATATATCCCATTATGTTCAGCAGAAAAAAAAAAAAAAAAAAAAAAAAATCATACAGATGTGGAACAACTTGAGGGTGAGTAAATGATGAGGAAATTTTAATATTTGGGTGAACTATCCCGCTTTCTTCAAATGTAAAGAGCATGCATGTAGGCTATTATACATAAATATGATATTAATATTAAAGTGGCATCCTTATTTCTCTAGTCTTTATGATATAAAAGATTGATGTCAGTGTGTTAATAAACATCTTTTATGATTTATTTTATTTATTTTTCCTGTCCGTTTCCAACTTTCTTGTATAGCTTAACTTTGTAATTATTTATATTATATTAATGATCAAAAATTACTTTTTAATTATACCGGATTAAATACAACATTGATGTACATTATTTTTTAAAATATATTATTAATTTAGTCGTTTTTTCCGTCTGCTGTTGATAGTGGCCTTTCATTTACAGAAAGCGATCTTTTAGTTCAAATTGCGGACCCTAATAGATGTGAGCCACCGGCGAGCTAAATGCATTACAATACGGCGTTTCCGTCTCTTTTGTGCTTAGGCAGATCCCCACGGGCACCGCTAAACACCCATCGCACAGAAGCCGCTCCTGAAACTCCTAGGGGCCCCCGCCAACATACAATGACACTTGTTTGCACTGTGCAACAGGCGGAGAAGCAAAAAGTCCTAGTTTTAATCTAAGGCACGGCCCTGCGCATGCGCCGGTTGACGGGTAGCAGCAGCTACCCTCTGGTCTGGATGGAGGAGAGTTGTCAGTGGGTCACTCTCAGTCTATCAATCCTTCACTATGCACTGCTCTCCTGCTTGAAATATTGACAGCTGACTACGAGCAGTTGAGTGCTCTATTAATTATTATTGAGCTGGACCTCCCCAAACTTAAGTGAAAACAGCATGATATGGATTAATATGGAAAAACTTCCTTGACTGGGAAGAAAAAAAAAGATTTCGTGAGAACACATTGAAGAATCGAGCGTATGGATTACAAGTCAGTGCTGGTTACTCCGTCTCTCAGGGGAAGACATTTGAGAAGTGGCGACATGAAGATCCGTTCAGAGCGGGATTGATGCAAAGTTTGTCTGAAGTCCTGGAGGTTTCTCACAGGAATATGGGATATTCTGAATGTATGGTTTATGTGCACAAAACCCCATCGGTTATGGCTGTTATTCATTTTCATATGTGTCGTCTCTACATTCAATTTGAAACAAAGCTACTGGAAGTCTTGTGACGGAAACAGTGGATACTTGTCTGGTGCATTTCTGCTGGATCTATTGAATTAACCTCGGAATTTCTCTGCCCAATGACATTTCCAAAGTTGTTAGTTGGGTTCCTTTTCACATCGTCTCCTCCTTTTATTAGTTTCATTTGCCGAGTCATTAACTTAACTGGTCCTGACCAAAACCTGAAGTGTTTTCATTGCACGGGTTTGTGACAGGATGCGGGGATGCACGGGATTCCCATGGCCGTCACGGTGGTATTGACACTTTTGACCATCATTAACGTGAAGGCGAGTGGAGAGTACTGTCACGGCTGGCACGACTCTCAGGTCGGGTGGCGAGACGGCTTTCAGTGCCCGGAGCGCTTCGACAGCGCCGAGGCCATCATCTGCTGCGGGAAGTGCGAGCTCAGGTACTGCTGCTCCAGCACTGAAGCTCGGCTGGACCAGGGCTCGTGTGATAATGATAAACAGACACAAGACTCCAACACCGGGGACAAGGACGACAAAAACTCCGGTGCAGGTAAGCTGAGACGACATCTGTATTGTTTTCTGGTAGAGTAACTTCCTCTGTCTGAAACAAATTAGGCAATTACTGTGTAATCGAATTGTACTCCAGCTAAGTTTAAATGGTTTAATTCAATAGCTTTCAGAGCAGCAGCAGTGTGTAACGTATATCGACCCACTCGTTGTGTCCCACCCTCGGGCGTTTTGTGAGTAAAAGCTCCACTATTTGAGAAAGTTATTTGGGTTGAGTTTCGTGTTCAAATGAGGTTAAAAACACTTAAGGTTAATGTTGTTTGGCTGTTTATCTCCAACAATCCATCTAAGCAGGACTGGGGTTGGAAACGAAGCGCTTCTTATTTAGAAGGAGACCATTATATATTACATGATTCTTATGAACAAGCTGTTTTAATTAATCACTTTTGAATCAGTTGGCCGTTACTGAATTAATCGGACTCGTCATTTCCGTTAAAGATACACAATAATACACAATGTGGGCAATATGTTGCATTATATAATTATATTATAATTAAATTACTAATATTATATACATTAATATATATATATATATATATATATATATAAATTATTATAATAATTGTATTATATATATTGGTGGCTTACTGGATTTTTAGAAATTGTTTCTTTCTAATAATTATCTGTTTTGTTGAAATATGAAATGATATCATTTAGTAATATACTGTTGTTGAGGACTGTAAAAGCATTTTTTTTTCTTCCTTAAAAGTAAGTTACTGAAAGAATCATTATCCGGAAGTGGATGGTTAAGAAGGAATCGGAACCCTAATCGTTAACGATTCTCGCCCCTAAATATAAGATTTAATGCCATTGCTATCCATGTTTTGACAGCTGCAGTTAAATTGGCATCCAAATTGGCACCTAACCGTCCACTCACTCACAAATGGTAAATTGTACTGCGCGAAGTTATAAATAGGCCTAGCTAGAGTTAGCCCAAGTAACGCGCGCCCGATCTCCAGTCGTCCGGTTACCCACGAGGATCAAGTTCAGACTTGACCGGATCCCTAGTGTGATGTGCTGACAGCATTCATAAAGGCAAGCCAGTGCATAATTTCCTCTGCCGTTTGGGCAAGCTCAAAATCTTTGAATTCAAATGGGGTCCCTGAATTTCCCCTCATCTGAACTAAAAATATAGTACACACTCATTGGGGACACGCAATTGTCACATGATGAAACCTTCAATTAATGCACAAACTATTGGACATTATAGAATTTTCAGATGAATTAAAACAGTAAAACAATAATAAAACAACAAAAACATTAAAATGTACAAAAATACCAAATTTGGCAAACAAATATTTAACTAATAAATTGTTAATAAACTGTTCAAAGATAATTCATATGCCTACATTGATGAACAGATAAAAACAGCAGTGAAATAAAGACTTTACATTAGAAACATAGGGTTTTTAGACACTTCTAATGATGCATATCTCAAAAGCAAGAGGAAATGGTGGTCTGCTATTGACAGAGCCTGTCTGGCAGTTGAAGGCCTGGCTCCATTTGGACAATAATGCAACAGGTGTGAATTCAAGTTAATGGGGCCCAAACCTTTTAAGGACATGAGGGACCCTTGCTGTTGTCCTGTATGTGAACTTCACTGATACATTGGCTCAATTTGGCTGGATTCACTAATAACATTCTTGATTTGACTTCAACGATCGTGCATAGTTTTATCTTTCTCTTTTTGTTTTTTAATGTTACTTTGGATGTGCATGATACGAAGAATGATATGATACTAAATGATACAAAGAATAAAAAAGTCCTGTCTTGACTGTGTCTCCGTCCATCTCATTAGACACCTTTTGTTACCATTAACACACTTTGGAATATAACATAATGTCACTCAGGAACAATAAATCTATGGAAATAACATGTAGTAACAGATTCTCTATTGTTTTTCCACACACATTTGTGTGTAACTTTGAATAGTGAGTTAAAAAGGGGGGGTGTTCGGGTTTCAACTGCCAAAAAGCAGTGATTTTCAAAACATGCACGCAAACTTAAAGCTTGCCAAAATTCAGGTCATTTACTGAAAAATTCCACTGTTATAGTAATAACTACCAACGCACAAAAGAGCTCCTGTAAAAATGACTCCCCTGTCATTTTTTTGCACAGCAATCACGTTTGATTTCATAATGTAGGAGCCTAATAAATAGTTAAACAATGGCTGCTTTTTTAAAGTTATGGCTTAAGTGGAGTCTTGATTTGCTCTTTTAATAAAATCAAAATCCAGTTTGCATGGCTATTATATATGATTCGATTCAACTAAATTTCAGAGGGAGCAGATGCAACAAAACAAATGCAGAAAGCTTCCCCCAGGAGATCAGATGTCTAATTATGCTATAAAGCAGAGGTACCTGTTGGCTTTTTCATGCACATGGTCAGGCAGAGAGGTCACCGCTGGTTGCAGGAGATTAGAGCAGATCAAAACTGTCTTAATAAGTGTTAATGAGGGGCCCTGGACCCCTGGGGACAAGTCACTGGTGCAACATCTCATCTTTCATTTTTGCTTCTGTCTCCAAATCCCTTCACCTAACATGGGCCAGCAGGTTACCCATCTGTGAGCGGGGTGGAAACATGTGAGCGCTCTGTTCTGTGATTTAAAGATACACATGTGTGGAATATTGTGACACATCAACAAAGTTCAGCAATGCTTTAGGCTTCAAACTTGCTTATTGTTAATTTTAAAGGTGTAGAAGTTACAAGGAGCTCAATCACAACACTGATATCCTAGTCTTCCTTATGGCTGTGGAAGGACAATTGCTTTGGATGCATAGAGGAATTCAAAACGGATATGGGCTTTCTAAAGTGAAGGAAAACCATTTCTCAAGGGCTATGCACAAACAAAACCTGCCAAAGTCCTCCAGTGTGCTGCAATCCAGCACTTTTCTCTATTTTTGTCATTTGGGAAGCCTGATACTATAACATTACATTTTCTAGTATCAAATAGCAGTGAATACAGCTGGATGACCTAAATACATTAGAAAAGGTTGTATTACAAGCACACATTTAAAAAAAAAAAACTTTATGAACGGTACTTCAAATCTTGGGCAGATTTTTGACTGATGGATGGTTAAAAAGGGCAAACAAATTCCCAAAGAATAACACTAAGAAAGGGAGCCGAGCCATATTTGGGTTGGTTCTTTTTGCTTGGATTAGTAAACATCCACCTAGTCACTCCAGAATGCTACTACTGATTGCAAATGCGATAAAAAAATAAAAACAGCGATTTAAAATATGTGCAAGCTCCCAAGTGGTGCTCAGTGCAGAGCCAAATGACGTCTAGCTCTCTATTTAGCGGAGTCCCTCACTGTACCGTGAGTTGTTTTTGAAATGAACCGTCATAGGGGATTATCACACTTCCGGGTTTCATGGGCGGGATTTGTCAACTTTGTGCATGTCCACTTCCGACACAGTTCAACAATGGTCGAAACGAAGCCTAGATGTCACTGTTCTGTTCCACTTTGTAAATCTAACCAACAACGCCAACCTTACTTAAATTTTCTGATTGAATTGAGTATTGACCATTTCACAAGATGTAAACAACACTGGTCCAGAAGCACTTCCTGTTTCAGTTTTTTAACACTATATAAAAGCTGGGATAAAATACAACCAACAGAACATTTAAAACTGAATCAAAAAGTTAAACAAACATCTTTAAGATGTTTTCTTTACATGTGAAATAAAGAAAACAGTTACAAACTGAAACAGGAAGTGTTTCTGGACCAGTGTTGTTTACATCTTGTGAAATGGTCTATAAGTAAGGAGTGGATTAAAGCGGTTCGCCGGGATGAAGGTCCAAACTTTAAAATAAAACAATGTAGCACGTTTGTTTGTTGCCGGCACTTTAATGAATCAGACTAATTTACCAGGGATGCCGTGTAAATAAACCTAGTGTAGTTCGTCATCAGTTCGCCAGAGTGATTGGTGATTCAACGGAAGTGGCAGTGCGCAGAGATCACTGAATGCGTAAGTACTACGTATCAGCGTGGTAATCCCCTATTGTGGGGTGTACTTTAAACTCACTGATTCAGGTGTCACAAAACTACAGCATGTGATTTACCTCCAGCTAGTCCCGGGCTAAAATGCATGTTTGAAATGTTTAACTGAACACAAATGACATGTCTTAAGATATGTCAGTGCCAGTATTTTGTCTCAAGATGCACATCAATAATTTCACGATTCACACTTACATACAATTAGAGGGAGTAAAGTCTAATGCGTATTTAGCGTGCTGTCCGGGGCCCACACCCAGAGTACTAGAGATGAAATCTGAGAGCTTTCTGAACGAGCCATAGACATTGCAACTTAAGGCCCAGAAAGGTAGTAAAGACATTGTTAAAATAGTCCATGTGACTACAGTGATTCAACCTTAAATGTTATGTAAGATTCTTTGGATTTTTTGCTTCTGCTTTACAGTACCCATCTACGTGCCTTTCCTGATCGTTGGCTCGGTCTTCGTGGCATTCGTGCTGGTGGGCTCCGTTGTTGCTGTGTGCTGTTGCCGCTGTCTACGTCCCAAACAGGAGCTTCACACGTCAGGTGGCGGCTCAGGAGGAGGGTCCAGCAGCGCCCGTGTCCTCGAGACTATTCCCATGATGGCCAGCACGGGTACGTCGCGAGGCTCGTCCTCCCGTCAATCGAGCACGGCCACCTCCTCCAGCTCTTCGGCGCCTCCCGCCGCTCCCCGTCCTGCACCCGTCCCCATGCTACGCGCCCAGGCCTCGTGCTGCCTGCCTCCAGACGCCAGCGTGTACGTGAACATGCCCACCAACTTCTCAGTGCTAAACTGCCAACAGGCCACTCAAATCCTTCCTCACCAAGGCCAGTTCCTGCATCCTCAGTACATCGGTTTCGCCCACCCCGTTTCTCCGGGTCCAGCTTACCTAGACCCCACTCAAGCGGGATACCGCCCATTGCAGTCTCCGTACCCTCCGCCAACCAGCGTGGCTAGTGTGGCCAGTGTGTCCGGGGATCAGAAATACCCTCCAATTACCATGTGAATGCCAATGGGACTACCGCAGGAAATACATTTGAATTGAAGTCAATAGAAGAACACAATGAATCAATTCAGAGCACAAAATGCCGGTTCGTTGGCATGAATGCACACTTGCGTCGAGACTCTCAAACTGGTTCTGTGATATAAAGGACACAGTGCTTAATAAAAATGGCTGGAAGTGTGTGTAATGTAACATGCCTTAAGTTACTAACGGTGCTGTTGTAAATGAAGCCTGTGTGTGTGTGTGTGTGTACATATGCGATGTATATTTGTGTTGTATAACCCTGCCTGTGTACTCTGTGACTGTATAGGTGTGTTGGTTTATGGGATGCAGTATGTGAATATATGTGTGTGTGGTGCACTATATGTTGTGTGTAATGGAAATCACAGGTGCTGTAATGTGAAAAACAGTCCTGGCTCCCTATTGGATGCTTAAAATCTAATGAAGTGAACACAGGACACAGACTGTGACGCTCCACCCACTGCAGCACAGACACACTCACTTACATTTTCACATATACACACTCACATTGTGAAGAACCAAAGTTTGCATTTTCACATTGCCAAGGAACAGATTAGAAAATATACAAAAATATAGGTCTGTGTTTGGAAAGCAACGTGCGAAGGTCAATTACGCAGTAAAAACTGTCTGCCAACTGTTCCCCTTCACTAAGTCTCTGCCTTGTGAAAGGACTGTGTATGTGTGCCACTTTTCCTCCCCTCTTTTTTAGCATAAGGTACACTCGAGGAGCACCAAAAGGGTTCCAGGGCATTTCATTTGAAGTGGGTCTCTTTCAGCACGCTCAATGGCAGCAGTTTAGCGTGGAAAGAAAAGTCCCAGACTCCTTCAGCAGAAGGCCATCACCCGTCTGAACTTGAAAACGCCAGCATTAGATCTCAAACTGGCAGAAGTCAATGAAATGAAAATGCCCGATTGAAAAATCACCAGTCTTAAGTTATCTGGCTTTGAATCGAAAGTTAAAACAATAGTTTACTCAAAAAAATGCATTACTTTCTTCTGCGGAACACAAAAGGAGATATGTTGAAAATGTTGTTTTTTTTGGTCCCTACAATGAAAGTCAGAGTTTTTATAGTTAATTAAAAAAATAATAATTGAAATAATCTGAAATAAATTAAAATATAAAAATTAAATGAAAAATGTAACTTTAAAAAAACATAAATGATAATTAGAACTAGCTGAAATATAACAAGTTTAAGTTAAAGTACTAAAGTTACTAAAATTACTAAATAAAAATAAATGAAAACAAGATAAACTCAGGAATGATTTTTAAAACTGTTAAATAAAAGCACAAGAAAATTGCTTAAGCCTCAATTCACTAATTCAAAATATGAATAAATAAATAATACTAAAATATAGTTTTGGACCCCATTGACTTTCATTGTATGGACAAAAACAGTTCTTTAGAAAATCGTGTGTTCCACAGATGAAAGAAATTCATTCAAGTTTAAATTTTATTTTTTTGAGTGAAGTTCAATTTTGACCAGACCCCAATTTTGATGTACCCCTATTAGAAAAGTTATAAGTCTTGACAGGGAGCTTGTCTTTTTTTTTTTTTTTTTGACTAGGTATCTGGGCAACTTGACATGCACATCAGATCTATTTTTGTGTAAAATACATGTGCGTTTGTGGAACTGAATGAGTATTTGAGTGAATGTGCCTCTCTCTCTAAAAGCAGGGTGCGATGTGTCTTTTACATATAAAATATATTAATAATAATAAATATTTTTAGAGACTGTGAAGTGTCACTGGGTTGTTTGTTAGAGATGCTGAGTGCTGCTGTCAGCGGTATGTGTGGCGTCTCAAAAGAAGACGTGCAGGACCTGTTTGCAAGACTGCCATTGCTAAATTAAACCAGAGTGCTCCTGTTACACATGGACTTTAAGTGCTCAGACTTTCATCACTCTCAACACTCATGATGAAACCGAGACCAGGGGCTGCGTACATAAATCTCTGCATAGTTTCCATGCTAAGTGTTTGCATACACAGAAAGACAGTTAGTCAAAACCTTATGCACATGCACTCATTTCTTTTAAATAATTAGGATAAATATATACTGGAACCCATGCTGAATCAGCCTGGTCTGACGTCATGATTGAACAGCTATAAGTTATATTTATATTCACTACTGTTCAAAAGTTTGGGGTCGCAATGATTTTTTTAATGTTGAGAGAAGTCTCTTGCTCACCGAGGCTGGAGTAATTTAATGAAAAATGCAGTAAAAACAAATATTGTGAACTATTACAACAATTTAAAATGTTCAATATTTATTTAAAATATGTATTTCTGTGATGTCAAAGCTGAATTTTCAGCATCATCACTCATCATTATAAAAGAAGTGTAGTCTAACAGTCAAAGTAGAAGTCGTTTTTGCTTGTCTCTCTGAAGGAGATACTGATAAAATAGAAAATGATGAACGACAGTAAGTTCCGGCAGCTGTCAACATACAATTAATATGAATAAAAGTGGTCAGATTCTTCAAGTTGTTGAAAGATGAAGTGCTGCCAGTTCAAAAAGACATTTATATGCTGTTAACATGTCTACACTCTAAAAAATGCTGGGTTGTTTTAACCCAACTATGGGTCAAATATGGACTAACCCAGCCGTTGGGTTAAATTTTTACATTACATTTTTAACCCAACATTTCGGGTTTGTCCATATTTGACCCAAAATTGGGTTAAAACAACCCAGCATTTTTTAGAGTGTAACAGAGAGATGTTAACAGGCTGTGCATTACATTTTCTACAAATCATCAACTTACTAGAGTGAAAACTTGTTAAAATTACAAATATTATGTATGATGAGACATTTTATAATAAATATCCAACCACTTTTTTTACTTTTATTAAAACACTTGTTTTAAACAACTTGAACAAAACTAAAAATATTAATTTTCTCTCACAATGTATGTGATCATTTACCAACAAATACCTGCAATGTTGTATCAAATGACAGTTCAATCAGAACTTACCTCATATGTCATTGCATCGGTGACCTCACAGATCTGAAAATGTAATTTGTACGTTTATTAGTTTAATTTTGTACATGCAAAAGTTTTAAACATAAGCAGCGTAAAAACTCATCAGTTGAATTAACTTAAAAAAGTGAGGAAACCCGTTGCCTTATATTTATTAATAAACGTAACTGAAAAAATTAAGTTGTGTGTAATTGTCAAGTTCACATAATTTAATTCTTCCAATTATGCATGAAGTTTATTTGCTTAATCATTTTTGCTAAATAACTTTGTTGAGATAAGTCAACCCATCAATTTTTAAAGTGAGGACAGTTGTGTTTAGATAGTAATATTTGAGTACATTATACACAAAAGTGAATTTGAGAGTTGAATTTAAAGAAATACTTGAACACAAATAGTTATTCATAGTCTAGTTGATCTTGTTAGAAAGCAGAGGTGTCTTTAAACACATCTAACAGCACAAGTCACAAGTCAAACTTTCCACCCAGACAATGGCTGCCTACAATTATAATGTACAAAAAAAAACAAAAAACAAAACAATAATTGATGTTGTTAGTAAAGTCTGTCTGTGTTATTGGCATGTTATATGGAAACTTTAAGGTCAGACTAACATTTGTGGAGTCCTTGGACGGAGTTGAAATGGATCCATGTGGTTCTTGCTGAGGTGGAACAGGAATGGATTCCCCATATTGGAGGCAGTGGAGCTGGACAGAGTTGGCTCTTATTCAGAGACATGGGTGTGGACTTACTAGCAATGAGAGATCATTGAGGTGATTGAGGATACGGGGTCACACACACCCTTACAGTTTTATTAAGACTTAAATGAACCTGTATTATTCTCAATTATATCTTGCTGTCACTCCCATAATTAATTCAAAACATTTATTTAAGCCAGGAAGAGTCTAACAAAATACTTGTAGCATGTTTTGGAAAGATTTAAGCTTAATATTTCATATACCTGTGAATTTTGTGCTCAAGAAAAATAAACCATTTTGGATCTGTTTTTTCACTTTATTTAGTCAAGATTACTTTGGAAAGACTTATATTAGTAGGAAACTGAAGTGGATGATATAAGTGTATGACTTTTTATATTTAGAATGACAATTTGGAAAGTAAAGAACAACTATAATAGCTATTTATTGTATTAGGAGAATACCATTCAAGTGCTGAAAGCAAACCAAATTTTTCACATTTTAAAATAACTTTAAAGTAAATCCTTTGGAACAAACAAAAAAGCTTTGACAGTAATGCTTAGAAAGCACTGAATTGTGTGTAATATATTTTTCTTTCATTTTCTGGAAGCTGATGTAATGTCAATATGTAATACATCTTGTTTTCATGGTATTGAATAAAAAAGTTTAAAGAGCTTACTTTTTTTTTATTTACTCGTTTTTTTCAATGAACTCAAAATTTTAAGACAACCAGGTTTCTTACGTTTTAAGTTATCCAACCGTCATTTATATTTATTTATTTATTTTTTACATAAATTCAACTTCAGTCCTAAGTAACGTTAGATTTTATTTCACGTACACTAAATGGACGCATCGGGCGGGGGGCGTGGCAAATTTAATGATTCAAGGTTTAAATAAGGCAAGACTTACACAAGTTGTTAAATGTGTTAGTGCTCTACTTTCTTTCCTGTCTTTAATCTTACGACAACACTCCACCTCAGCTCATTTCCTTACCTGTAACTCTGACTCAGCTCCGAAGCTCACTTCAAACAAACCCGGCCGGAGAAAGCACAAATCAATCTCCATTTATAAGCCTGTAGTGAATGTTAGCGTTTACGTTTTAAACCAGCACATAAGTGAATCAAATCAAGCTAAGCTCATCTTTTAGCTCTGCAATTTTAAAACGAACTCTCTTCCTGAGAGAACGTAAACCCTTTTGAGTTAAGTTTGGTAATCCCCTAAAACCCAGAAGAATGTAGTAAATTCCGGTTAAATGGTTAATTTCTGGTTTCGATTCCAGTTAAATTACGCTATTATTAACTCACCACTATCATTCTGAAATAAGTTATAGCCCTAGTCCGAAGGAAAACTCCTTTCCAGGCGTCAGATATAATGCGACGTTGCGGAATTGCGAACAACTGACTCTTATGAATCGGTTCTTTTGAATAAGTACATTCACAAACCAGACTCGAACTGATGAGTTAGCTATTTGAATCAGACTCAATCAGTCAACACTCACTGAATCGTCCCATTTACTTCTCATTCAACTGTGAGTCATTTAATTTATTTAAAGGGTTAGTTCACCCAAAAATGATCGTTCTGTAATTTACTCACCCTCAAGTTGTTAAAAACGTGTATAAATTCTAGGATGTCAAAACAGGACAAAAACAAGCCTTAAAAAGAGAATGACACAGAGTCACAAGTCCAGTTTATTTTACAAAATAGTCCAGAAACCTCACAGGTTGAGTGAAAGCGGACAAAGCAGAGCCACAGCTGTTATCCACAGCAGCCACTTAATGAAACAGAGAGGGAATGAACGGATAACTAGACCAAGAGAACAAGGAGACATGGAGATTGCTGATCTGGAGAAAGAGAGAGAGAATAGAGGTAGACTAAGGCGAGAACATGAGCTCTAATATACAGAGGCCACCATTAAGTAGAAGATTAGGTGAGACAGAGAGTGAGAGAAGGTGTATTTGTGTGTGTGTGGTAAGCTGGGAAGCTCCGTGCTGCAGGGTGGGGGGTTTCGCCTCAGAGGAATCGGTGTGTGTTTTGGCAGCCGCCCTCACTGGATGGGAACGAGGGGTAACGGTGCATGCGTGTCTGCTGCATCTGTAAGCCACACCTCCCCCCATCTCAGGTCTGCAATGGGCATTTCTCCAAAGTGTGTATGCATGTGGGTGGGTATTTTTTTGTTTGTTTTTTCAGTGGCCTCCCCTCTTGCATCGCTGTGGTGATGACGGATATGCCAAACTCCGATCTCTAGAGACGCAGACGCTAGGACTCAACAAAAACACACATGCAGACACACCAAGAAGCACACCAGTCACCCTAACTTACTCACAAATAAGCGCGAATGCAACAGACAAGCCATACGCACATCCACATAAACGAACGTGCAGATGCATACACGCACCCACATGATATAGAACCAAATGAAGCAGTCGTGTGACTCATGATAGTGATATAGGCACCATTGTCTCTGGCTTCTGCTTCTGGATGCTACTCGGCTCCTTTCACCTGTCCGTTCATGTGTAGTGCATTTCAACTGGCCATTTCGGTGTGAGAATATACCCGCCCCGCCCCCCAAACCTCTGTCTCCGTAAATCCACTCCCTCCGGCCTCATTGAGAGGTGGTGTGTTATGTAGCTCGGCCGGTTGTTGCGCTAGCTGTGCCCAGTTCAGTTTAGTTCAGCTTAAAGGCCACAGCAGGATCACCCAGCACAGGTGTGTGTCATTAAAGTCTTTCCCAGCTGTTGCTGTGATGACAGCTACATACTGGGCCGCTGAACGGTTGTGTCATAGGAGCGTACAACCTGGGATTGAGACACCACGCCATCCTCCTCCTGTGAGAATGCATATCCATCTATTGGGAGAAAGAAAACCAATTGTTAGCTTTATTATAGGGAGATGTACATGCATTCTATAGTGAAAGCAAAACTGTATAGCTGCGCTGATTTAATGATATAATCACATCAGTTAGTGCTGCCAATTTGATTAATCACGATTCATCTAACATAAAAGTTTTGTTTATATAGTGTGAGTATATATATATATATACACATATATATACACACATGCATACACACACATTACAATAACTCATGTTAAATGCGATTAATCGGTTTGACAGCACTATTTATAATATCTTATTGATTCTTAATTTTAGGGTGGCAGTAACTAATAGATAAAGCTGATCATGAAAAGAGTCCAATTAAATTCTTGGCTCAATGAGCTCTCAATGGAAAGTCTGTCAGTGACATCAATAAAAAACACATTTAAAAATGGCAAAAGAGCTGCGAAAAGAAAATTGGGATGACAAACAGTTGTTTTTGTTGTATATAAAACCTTTATTTTATTTTAAAGGGTTAGTTCACTCAAAAATGAAAATCCTGTCAAACAGATCTCATTCCCCATTGACTACTATAGTATTTTTTCCTACTATGGTAGTCAATGGGGAATGAGAACTGTTTTGATTAAAACATTCTTCCAAATATCTTCCTTTGTGTATAGCAGAACAAAACCCTTAAACCCTTTCTGTGTTTATATGTATAGCATAGCTTAAATTTATACATTTATATATATTTTTTGTCAAACCGGCATTTACAATACCGGTTTGAAGTTTGGGGTCAGTAACGGATACTCCAGCCAAAAAATGTAGATTCTGTCATCATTTACTCACCCTCAAGTTGTTGCAAACCTGTGTGAGTTTCTTTCTTCTGCTCAACACAAAAGACATTTTGAAGAACGATTGGAATCAAACAGTTGTTTGGCACCATTAACTTCCATACTAATTATTTTTCTACTATGGAAGTCAATGGTGGCAAACAACTGTTTGATTCCAATCGTTCTTCAAAATATCCTTTGTGTTCAGCAGAAGAATGAAACTTCTGAAGAAAGAAAATTTAAAACTTATACAGGTTTGCAACAACTTCATTTTTGGGTGGAGTATCCCTTTATTCAGCAAGGATGTATTCAATTAATAAGAAGTGCAGTCTTTTGAACTTTTTATTCGCCAGAGAATCCTGAATATTAAGTAGCACACCTGCTTTCAACAGTGATACTAATAATAAATGTTTCTTTAGCAGCAAATCAGCATATTAGAATGATTTCTGAAGGATCATGTGACTGCAGTAATGATGCTGAAAGTTTGGAATCAATTTAAAATACATCAAAATAGAATATGGTTCCTTCAAATTGTAATAATATTTCACAATATTACTGTTTTTAGTGTATTTTTGATGACATAAGTACATCCTTGGCGAGCATTAAAGACTTTGGACAGTAGTTTATTTGTTTAATACGTTTCAATTTGCAAATTGAAGAAGAATAATGGTATATGGATTTTTTTTTCAATGAAAATCTACTTTTAATAAAACCCTTTAATATTTAATTAATCTAATAAATTGACAATTTTTTTCCCAGATTGGATAGTGTAAAGTTTGGACAAGAAACCCATAAGATATAATGGTTTTCTGACAACTAACAGGTTAAAATAACCATCAACTGCAGTCGTACTCCGACTAGAATCTATATTTTTTATTTCTTTCCACGGTTCAATGAACCATCCTAACTTGTCAGGATGCTGGTCTGGGTTTTTCTGAAAAACAGCATGGATGAGATGGTTCGCCTGCTAGACCAGCACCAACTAGCCTAGTCAAGTTGTTCATTGTACTGCTGCACACACAAGGCTCTCGCAGCCGCCAGTGGATGGGAATGTGTTAACAAGAACACATGGGGTACATGCACTTACGTGACACTGTCTGCTGCACAGAGTTTGAGCGTCCCACGCTGGAAGGCGTTTTCCTGAAGACCCGTGTCAGCAGGTGGGCACGCTCGTTCAGACTGGACAGAAAGAGACAGGCGGGTTATGCCACCAATCACAGCACAGTTCCTAGCTGATATGCTACACACATGACAGCTAGAGGTCAAATCACATCACATTTCTACAACACAGTGCTCTACTCTGACACGTGGCCATCTTGGCAAATGCCAGATACTCTTAATGATGTTCACTCGAGCAGAACATACATTTACACACATACTCGCACGATTCTAAGAAACGGCTTCCCAAAGCACTCATAAACAACATTAAACTTGTGCCCTGTGATCCAAAAACTTCTCTTTCAATATTTCCACTGCACTAAATCCTCAAGCTTTCCAATCCTTCAAACAAAAACGATAAATATGAGAAGTATTCAACAGCTCTTTACTCTAAAATGAATGTGGCCAATAAAGTCGTCTCCGGTTGCTAAATTAAATGGCAAAATTTCAATTTTGGAAACCGAATCTGATGGCATTTTGCGGCCAGTTTTGAAATGAAGAGGAATCGAATGATCCCGACCCCATCTTTGATAAACACGTTCTATGTAAAACAAATCAGTCTATGATGTTTCCCTGTAAATCAGATGAAAGCGGTCTTTCCCCCCCATCCAAAAAAGAAAGTGATCCAGAAACCAGTTGTCATGGATGAGGGCCAAACTTCTCAAGGTTACAGCTCAAACTCATATTGTGCAACGAAGGGGACCGTTTGGACTGTTATCGTTGGGAAGGACGTGGCATTCATTTGGCTGCTTAGTAAAACAATTCAACAACAGTATATGGGATACGGCAAAACATCAGCCAATGAAAACTATGTCTGCAAAACAGATGACCGGTTGAAAGACGGGGATGATGAATGGATAAATAAAGAAATAAAAGGATGGAATGACGCATAGGCTCGGTGGTAACCGGAGCTCTTTCTTCCTCTGTCGTTTCTCTGGAACGTGGACAATCCTTGGAATATCAGACAGTTGTTTTGATTAATCAAATTTTCAATAACTTATTTTCCTCGGGCCGTCCCTCAAGTACGAGTCCAGGCTTGGCTTATCCTTCGGAAAATGCCTCGCTTTTGTCCGGCAGGGCTAGCTGGGGTCTTCTTGGGTAAACAGATCTGCAAATCTAAACGCCTAGGATGCACTCTCGAATTGTGTCAGCCTCCGCACAACGAAGCTGAATTCAAGCCGATAATGAATCATTCAGCAGATTTCTACACTCGTTCAGGATGACTTACAACCATTATGCTTTTTACAGCTGGATATTTACTGAAACAAATGAGGTTAAGTGTTCTGCTCTGGGGGAATGAGGGGGTAAACCCAAACAGGGCTTACGTCCAACATCCCTCTGATTAGAAGTCCATTCTGTTAACTCCCTGGCCATAAATTAATGGCATAAAGACCACAAAACACTCAAAGGTATAAAAAAAAAAAAAAAAAAAACTGCATGAGACTACACGTCCGTCTGCCAAGTTTCTGTCTCATATAGGGCTGTACACCAAATGCAATATGTAGCGTAATATCCCTGGGCTAAAACGGTTAAATCCATGCAAACGCTTAACTCAGTCAGCCTCAAGTCCACAAACACACAGCATGAAAACAAACACATGCACAGAGCTACGATCTTAAGGAAGCTACACACACCCAGTGCTTATAGCTAGGCAAACCTGACCAGCTCATGGCCGCCTGACATGGCAGAATGTAAAATGGAAAGAGAAAAAGTAAAAGAAAAGTCATGAGATAAAGATGACGCTGAAAAGGAAGGTTCATGGAAGAGGGAAACAGAGGTCACTGCACATTCAGGCAGGATGGTTCTACCTGCGTACATGCCTGCCTTTGACTCTATGAGTCTATGAATCCTCAGCATTGGGTCTGTGGGTGTTCAGGCAGGGGTTAGAGGATCACAAGGGACACAAATGCAGTCTCTTTCCCAAACACACAACCACAAACTAATAAAAAAAACGATATGAAGGGATAATAAACACAATAAATCAGCTTTAAAACCTAGTGAGCTTCCTCCATAAGAATTTTAATACATCGCTGTCCTGATGTGAAGGCTGTTTAAAATGATCTCTTCTTTTGACAAAACTGTAGTAGCGTTGCGTTGCATTGCAACCACAAAATGTACTCCAACAAGCAAAGCAAATAAAACAAAAATCTAAAATTAAGGTTTAACTATATATTACATACATATAAATTATTTTAAACAAATTAAACTGTAAATTAACCTACTATATATATATATGTTTTTTTTTAAGAAGTATAGAAAATCCAAGATGGCAGACAAAGCAAGAATTGTTGATATTTTATTAATTTATTTACAATATTTAACGTTTTAAAATTTAACTTGATATTTATATGAGTTACTGCGTTGATGTAGAGTCACTTAAGAGGTGCCATTGCTGTTGGTATGCTGCCTATGTAGGCAGCGAGTCAGCTCAATAAGTTTTGAAGCAGATTATGATTTATGGAACAATTATGCATTTGCCTTTTTTATTAAAATCATAGCTATATTATCTGAGTCAATGGGTTAATTCATTCAAAGCATATTTGCAGGACATACCTGCGGCCACTGGCATCTCTGAGGACAGCTGCCCTAGGGTCCACAGCTCGAGCTTCCAGTTCCTGCACTTCCTCTAGCAGAGTCTTCCTCACTGTGCGTCGTCCACTGAACGGTGACATAAATATATATATAGCCAAATTACACTGTATTTTCTCCATAAATACACCGATGTGTGCATGTGTGTTACTTACGCATTCCATGCCACATCTTTGAGTAAACATGCTGTTGGCACCAGTATCAGGCCCAGCCAGAAGCTCCAACACTGCATTACCCTGCCAGCCTAAAACAGAGATAAACAGATCATCATCAGTTTAAAATAAATGCTTAGAAAATGTCGCAACACCCAATCATGCTGGATTTCTCTGTCCTTGCAACAGCTGTTGACTGACCTGTGTCACCTTTGACCTGTCTGAGAGTTTAATTACCTATTTACCTACCATTGCCGTCTGCTGTTTGCTGCTCTTCTCCGCTGACTGTTTAAGTTTTTTCCACCCTAATGAGTTCCTTCTTACATCGAACCATTTATAATGACTAATACTACTTAAACTTATCGCTCAAAACGGTCTGAAAAAAACCTTTTAGAAATAAAATTAAATAAACACACACTAACACACACAAAAAAAAAAAACTATCTGCTAGTTTTGTTGATTCATTTAATTGTTTTATTAACACAGAAAGTTTTAAAAGTCTTCTGCTTAATCGTATTTTCTCAAAGTAGCCTTTAATGTTAATCCAACAGGCTTGAGAAACTTCACGGTGTGCAATCAAGTGATCCCACTTTTAAGGATCCTCCACAGCTGATATCACAGACGGAATCTACTAGACTCTGAAAACCATTAGACGGCATCTTCTCGCGACAGCTGCGCATACACTCCCAGACCCAGGCCAACCCTACCGAATTCTCAGACAAGCAGACGCACAAAAATACACACAGAGCTGGAAAAACATGCATAAGGAGCTTGTGCGCTCCCAGCTTGGCCTACATGGAGAGATGGAGAGATTAAGAAATGAACGGCTGGACACAGAGGGGAAAGAAAAGTCAACGCTGCAGGGTGAAGTACGAGGGATGTCCCTTCTTTTTCTCTCCCTCCGAGAGCAGCTGCTGTGATACTTGAGCACATTCCTGATTTCTGACACAAATCGAATTAATGGGCTGGAGGGCTTCAGAGAGCTCCATCCCACCCCTGACTACTCCACACTCCCACAGCACGCACACACTAGCTTTGTTCCAAAATCCAGTGATCCGCCTCCGCAGGTTGCATTTCAGAGCACTGTAGACTTGCTTCCAATTATGCTGCCAGAAAGAATCGCTAAACTCTTGGAGTAAATTGTTCATATTTTATAGTATATTATATATTATAACATTTGATGAATATATACCAAATATTTGTACTAAATGCAATTTATTGAATTTAATACATTTTAAAATATTTTTTATTATTTATGTTTTTATACTTGACATTTGTTGAACATTTTTGAAGAGAAATACTGGTTATAAAAATAAATAATACAATACTAAAATATGTTGATACAGATTTTAATTTTAATGTTTTAATTGTATTTTTGAAAATACATATATAAAATTATAAATATAATTCACACAAATGATAATTGTAAATATAATTCGATACTACAGTGTGTTTGGGGTAAGGGTATCGATACAGCATAATATCGCAATATTTTGCATGGGGTTATTGTATTGATACACGGGTGCCAAATATCTATATTTTCAGGGAGTGAATTTCAGCTTGCAAATGCAAGTATTGTGCATAATTTTACTTTAAGCTCTGCGCTTATAATTTACTCTAAGCTCTGCGCATAAGACTGTAATTTTACAAACAGCATATCTCTCTCTCACACACGCAGTATGTGTTTGTGTTTTCCTATAAAACAATATAAATATGATTCAGCACATAATTACATTGCATAACTGAATACTGTCACCTTAGAACGCCTGATATCGGCCGATAATATCGGCCCGCCGATATATCGGTCGGCCTCTAGTATATATCCCAGTGAACACACGAGAGAAAACCTTTCAAGAGTATTCCTCACACATTTACACACACAGATATCTGTGGCACTGCACAAACCAGCCCACTCGCTTAAGTCAACACTTCCAGGGTAGGCCGTAAAAGTCACCCACTGGGGCTCGGGTGACTGCGTGGCAGGTGCAGGGAGACTGCGAAATGGGACAGCGGGCCATAAATCTGATATGGAACACCCAGAGAGCAAGTCATCCAGGCGCCGGGCTGTAGTCAGTGAGTAAAGCACAAATATGAGCAAGTGTGTGTATTTGCACTCACCTGGCCCAACATATCCGGCGCTATAGGAATGGTCGGCCAGATTGCAGAATAGACGGCAAAAAACAACATCCAGAGCACCATGCTGCCCCATACAGCCAGATGAGAAAACTAGAACAAGAGAAAAACAGGTCATGGTCAGTTTCATACTGAATATAGACTTCTTCAACTGTAATGGACACTGTGTGAATACCAAGGCCGCTCTACTTTATCACAAGATCTGGTGTGTGGACAGCTGAACGGACGGGGAGTGTCGACGTCCCCTCAACACACGGTGACAGGACAGAGAAATGTCCTGCCATAGCAGCGATACATGTTCCCCATCTATCTAAAGCACTTCCCAGAATATATATGTGACCTTCCAACAGAATCAGACACATAATATCAAGTGCACTGAAGATGCATTAGAAGGTGATTTCATTCATTTTCTTAGTATTTTTTGTCATTTTTCATTACAATATCAAAAAAAATTCTCAAATCAAGATACATACTTGAAAAGGAAAAATGAGTATGTTTAAAACAAGAAAAAAAGAATGGTCAAAGGGTTGAGAAAAATAATATTAATTTGAAATATGATTATAGAATCAGACACATGATATCAAGTGCTCCTTTTACTCCAGATAGAACAAATCCTTTGAAATAAATTTGATGTATTAGACAGCATTTTCATAAGTCCTGCCAGAGACGCTCATTGCTCTGAGCTGTGATGGCAGGCAGTGAAGCGTGTGTGTGTGTGTTTGTTTGTGTTGGAGGATGGGGACTGACGTACCCTTGTCCATGCTGTGGTCTCCATACCGGCTTTCAGACATACAGTTACCACCACATACTGCACCAGGAGGAGAAGGAGAGAAAGAGAGAGAGAGAGAGAGTCAGTCATAAATAACAGTAATGATATGCACTCATCATCCTGGTAAAACATTCTGTACAGCCTCGTACAAAACCAGATGAGGGCTTTCACACAGGCATCGACTTACTATCGCCTCTAGCGACGTACACTGCTTTAAAACACACAATTACACATTTATCCCTAAAGTAACACTCGTACACACATTCAGGCACACGGAAGCCCGCAAGGCACAGAAAAGAAATACCAGCACACAAAGACTTCACTCCCCATGGGACTCATTCATTACTGTTTTAATGGCTCGAGTCTAGTATCACCTTCAAATGTATTGTATTTAATAGTCTGGGTCACACACATGGCCTCATTTTTATAATGCTTGGCGAAATATTGTTCACTGAAACGAAATACTGTATACTGATTGGCTAATAGGGAGGGAACACTAGTGACATTGCATATTTACTGTACAGACCAGTGTTGCTTTCTATTTAGCATTAAAATAAGTTTATTAACCAAATCGGGTTCCCAGTCTGTAATGAAAGTTTTGAACACTGGCTCAATTTAATAATTTAACCCAAAGAAGCTTTACCCATTTCAAGCATTTTATGTAATAAAATAGTTAGGACAGTCATAAATTCTAGAGCTGAAACGCAGAAATATAAGTCATAAATTGCCCACAAAAACCACCGGTGAGCGGCCTTGTCCGTTCTGATCAGTCTCCTCGCAGAGTTCCTGTCGTTCTTGCTTTGAGTTGTGGGGTCATTTCACAAGGACTTTTTTCAAGAATATCCAGCGAAAAGAGACATTAACAAGTTTGCAGTGTTTACACTGGTGGTCAGCGAATGGAATAACAGCTCTAGCAAGGAAATGATGTGTGACCTCTCATTGGCAGGGGGCTATGGAGAAGCAAATGCCACGCTGACAACTCACCGTGTAGACGATGTTCCCCACGAACAGGTAGTCGACACTGTTGCCGTTGTCAAAAGGAGTGTCTGAAGGAACAAAAGGGGCGATGAAAGATACTTAGCAATTGACGCACTCAAGCCGAAGTGGTCTACAAATGTGCATGTGAGTGCTTGAGATAGCTACCGTGCTCCAGGACTTTGAGTGGAAACCAGAAGAGAATAATGGAGTGAATGAGAGCATTTATACAGTGACCCCAAAAGACCTGGAAAAAGAGAAAGAGGCAATGAAAGAGAGAGGAAGGGAGGGACAGAAAGCAGGAACGGGAGAGGGGGAGAGTCAGTCAAGACAAACTAATGCCAAGATACACAAAGCCCACACAAACAGCTTCTCTGCAATTGCACAGCTAGTGTAATGTCCCCCAGATCACCCCGAAAACACACACATACAAACACTGATCCTCAGCTATAAATGAATGACAGTCTTATTTCAGCCTCATGAATCTCATTATTATCTAGATGGCAGCAGAGCTTCTTCTTGCACTGCTGTTTATCCACGGGGAAATCACAAGTCAAACAACATGCTGATGCTGTAAACCACATCAGACCGTGATAATCAATTATAGCACAGGATGTAGACAAGCGTGGTGATTGTAATCAAACAGTCACTGCAGACAGATTCATATGTCTCGTAGTATTTGTTGAATCAGTATGAGTAACTTGTGACTGAAATTGTGCATTAGTATTGACTACTGAACTCTTGGTGCGCCGTACCTTAGTGTTAAAACCTTCTGCGTTCTGTGTGATGCGGTACAGCTGAGGGAATCGTAGCATGTTCTGCTGACTGCATGGCCGGTCAACTATCCCCAGAGTGAAAGGAGGGAGAGCGGTAAAGATCTGAAACATACATGAACTTTCATGAAAGTGTTGTAGTTTATTATATACACAATGCATCTGATTTATGATACTGTATATTTGATAAAACAACATTGTCTTGGAATGGTCAGATTGCGATGAATTCCATTGACATGTTGCTAAGCTCACTGTGCCATACCATAATACGATACGAAGCATAAAAATACACAGCAAACAATTTTTTAAGTAAACTATGGTCTTTGCTGTATTTGTAAAATATTTTGGTCGAACAATAGGTGTTTTTCAATGGCTGAAGCAAGTTTGGGGTCAGTAAATAAAATTAAAACTTTTATTTAGCAACAATGATGCATTAAATTGGTCAAAAGTGACAGTAAAGACATTTATAAACAGTACAAAATAACTATATTTCAAAAACATGCTGTTCTTTTAAACAGTCTATACATAAACTATTAATTTCTATAGAAGAAATTATTAATACATATACTATTAATTTCTATTGAAGAATCCTGAAAAAAAGTATCAAGGTTTCCACAAAAATATGAAGCAACGGTTTTCAACACTGATAATAACAAGAAATGTTTCTTGAGCAGCAAATCAGCATATTAGATTGATTTCTGAAGGATCATGTGCCACTGAAGATTGGAGTAATGATGAAATCATAGGAATAAATTACATTTTAACATATATTCACATAGAAAAGAGTTATTTTGAATTGTAGTAATATTTCACAATTTTACTATATATTTTTCAAATAAATCCAGCTTTGATGGGCATAAGAGACTTGTTTAAAAAAAATGTACTGTATATTAATATATATCAATATATTTTAATATATATTTATTACCCATTGCAAGGTGGACCCCTTTATCTTCTGATAAATAAATAAAAATGTGTCAAAGATCACTATTACTGACAATTATCTTGACGATGTTGGAACTTTATCCACAAAATTTGCTGCAGTGCATTCTGGGATTGTCTTTGTGAATGATAAATGTTACGTTTGATGCTGCCAAAGCCTTGTCAGGAGTGCCCCTAAGATGCCTTAAAATTATGTATTGGTAGGCAGCTCACAAGATTTTTGAAACATATGAACATAAAAATGAGAGCAAGACAGACACACACGTACCACATTGTACAGGCCAATGCACCACCGTTCAAACAGGATCTGTCCAGAGAAACCATTTACAAATGCAAACCAAAGCTGCGGGAAAAAGAGGAGGAAGTTTGAAGTTAAAAATACAGAAGTGAAGACAACCAACACTGTGATAAATAGAGGACACTAAACACTCTAGCAAAGTGCTTCAGACAACATCAAACTCAAGGCAGAGGTCAGATCATACAAACAAAAGGCCACACACACATGCACACTTGCTGTCCATCCCCCATAATGTCTTTGCTATGAAGACAAAGACAGTCGGTGAACTTTGACCTTTAAAGCTCTTCTTTGCTAGAGGCTAATCCTCAGTAAGACCCCCAAAACACCCCTCTCCCCCAAATACACTGACAGATGTGCACAGACAATCGCATTCCAAAAATATAGAGACATCTAAACATTTAACCTCTACCCAGATCTTCCCGTAACACACACCCACCCACATCAGCACACAGTCCGATACACAGAGGCCGAGTCCTCGGGGGGATGAGGGGGCATGTTTCTGCACCTGCTGCCATTTTAGGGGGTGGCACAGCTGACAAATGCTCCACCGGACAGCATGGTGACCCTGTCAGTAAAGCTCACACTCTACCTAGCGTGCACACACACACTTAGGCCAACACAGCTCTCGGATGACAGTGTATCTGGTATGCAGTTTTGAACTGGAAGGACCCAGCCACTATAGATAGGGGTCAGCGGCTCTTTGTCTGTGCCTGCGAGTATGTGTGTGTGTGATGGAAAGCAGAGACTAGTGAGGGGGCATCTCATTTATCACTGTCAAACACTTCCATAAACAGCTGCAAGCAGTCTCCTTAATGTACGCAAGGGTGTCTGTGTGAAAAAAAAAGCTAGCAAAAGGTTTGAGGGGAAAAAGAGTAAGCAAACATGTTTGTGTGTGTGTGTGGATAATGGCCTATTAGATGACTCTCTTTAAAAAGTTATCTGATCTCATACCATGCAAGTACAACACATTCCAAAGGCAAAACTATGTTGTTTAATAGGAATAGTTTGCCCAAAAAGATAAATGAAGAATTTACTTGCATTCCAAACCGTATGACTTTCTTTTAAAAAATGCATAATCCAAAAACGTGTTTATAACATTTTTATCTATATAAAAGATATCTACACATTTTGACCAATTCATTTCAGATTTTTTGGTAGCTGTTTGTGTTTACTGGATAATAAAACAAACCATTTTAAAAAACTGCATGGCCAAAAAGCTATTTCTATATATATTTGTAATAGGGCTGTGCAAAGATAAATTGCGATTAATCGCATCCAAATAAAAGATTGTGTTTACATAATATATGTGTGTGTGCTGTGTATAATTGTTTTGTATATATAAATACATATGCATGCATGTATTTATTTAAGAATTATTTGCACGTAAAATACTGTATATATATATATATATATATATAAATATTTTATATATGAAAAACACATTTTCTTAAATATATACATGCATGCAAAATATTTATACACAGTACACACAAATATATTATATAAACACAAACTTTTATTTTGGATGCGATTAATCGCAATTATTCTTTGCACAGCCCTAATTTGTATTAAAAAATTTGTTAACAAGCACTAATTTTTTGGTTTTCAAAGTTTACAATCAGAGATCTCGCTTATAAAAACGTTATCTTTATTATCTTTCAAATTCTGAAGGTAAATTGATCAATAAAAGTATACTAATAAAACAAAATGGTACGAATAAAGTGCAGCACATGTAAAGTATGCAATGACTGATGAAGCCCTAGAAATTTCAGTGCATAGAAGAGCATGTCCCAGTCATGGGAAATTCCCTTAACCATTGAAAGGATACTATGACAGATATCGCTTTCTTCATTCAAACAGATTTTTTCCATTAATATATGATTGTCCTTCAGAATGAAAGCTGTATCATATACATAGCCATGAGAAATTGCTCTATATTTGTAAAAAAAAAAAAACTGGACTGCAGCGTTAATTTGCATACACTTATTGTATTAGTGTTTTTTAAAAAATGTGTTAAAGCACTTAAGTAGCTTGTCATAAATATGACCGTTTTCACTGGTTTAAGGACTTCAAGCACTTATCTAGAGAGTTCTGATTGTATTGTATTGAAAGGAGGAGCATGAATATTTCACGTGATCTTTTGTGTTTCAAAAAAGCACGAAAAAAATATGGGTTAGGAACATGATGACACATAAGGCCAGAATTTTTATGTTTTAGTGAACTACCCCTTGAAAAGTCCCACACACACTTGATTGATATTATCTACGCACCTCTATGATGTACAGAACCACATTCTTATAGAAACAGTACAGGATACATTTGGTGACCCGGTTGTAACTCCAAGCCCCGTGAACCAGTAAAAGCTTCTCCAGGTATGAGAACTAAAGAGAAAGAGTTTGAGAGAAGAATTAGTTTGCCCGCAGGAACACATGTGAACCATTACTGTAGGATCAGCTACCCGGATACAACAGCGCTGTGGGCAGAAGACTGCTGTGTGTTTTGTGTTGTGGTAGTGTAATTACAGTTTTAAGGATCAGATGTGTGTGTGTGTGACCGAGTCACAGAATAATGAATTACATGAGTGTGTGTGTGTGTCTGTCAGACCTGAGCTATAGAGTAATCAGATGAGTTGGTGGCCTGCATGCCCTCATTCCCGCTTATGCCAACTCCCACGTGTGCCGTCTGTATCATGCCTACGTCATTGGCTCCGTCTCCGATAGCCAGTGTGATGGCCTTCACATGCTTCTTTACCATGTCCACAATCTCCGACTTCTGCAGTGGAGACACCCTGTAAGATAAATATGACAAAAGTATCAGTAAACAAGCACTAAGAAAATTCACATTTGTTCATAATGTGCATCAATGGGCAATGTCGTGACATTGATGATGTCATCAGACAGCAACGGAGAAGTGTAAAGTGACCAAGAGATTTGGTGTCATGAACCATTTAGACCCAAAAGTGATTTCAATGTCTAAAAGCACTTTTACTGGAACATAATTCACTTTTAATGGTACAAAATATTCAAGTGCTTTGTTGTTGGAAAAAACAGGAATCATGGAGGACACCAGGTTTATTCTTGCTTATCTACTGGGAAAATCTTTTTAAAACCATAATTATATTTAGCCTTTCCTAAATTGACAACCATTTAAACAATTACCACGATTATCTAGATAGCTTGCTCACCATTCTTGAATTTCGGTCAAATACAGGCTATTTTGCTGCGCATAAAACATACAATACACTTCAAATGATTATTCATATATGTAAATATGCACTTTAATGACAAGGAATTTTTATAAATAAAAAAATAGCTGTCAGGGCAATTCTTTTCCCCTCCACCATGTTTAAAGTTTATTTCCAACTAAGGAATTTGGATATCAAAATTATCCCGAGCTTCTCAATGGTAAATCCGACTTCAGAGGGCGTTCATGTCCAGTTTTTAACTAGGAAACTCATATTTATGATAATTCCGAGAAGGCAGCATTAGCATAGTGAGCCTTTTACCTCAGTCTATGTCTTAAACACATTAATTTTTATACAAATATACATTTTCGCTTGATCCGGCACTACAAAAGGGTTCTCCTTTGGGGTCCTAGGGGAATTGTTCCTATAACTATACACTCTGGAACCTTTGCTTATTGACAGCCATTCAACATTAGCTGTATATTCAGATTAAATACTTATGCCAAAATTATAGTACCACCATGTTTTTTTCCCCCCGAAATAGCTTGTTTTGTTTTTTGGGACATTTACCAATATATTTTGAAGTAAATGTGCTATGGCACACAGTACCAAAACATCAAAAACAACAACAAAAAAAAAAAAAAAAAACAGTATTAGTGTAGTATTTCTAGAGAGGCTTGGAGACATGTAAATCAGGAAACTCTCATTAAACTATATTCTCTTTCTCCGAATGGAAGGTGTTGGATGAGATTTGTATTTTAAAGGAAAATGAATGATCATTGACACACATTTACATTTATTCATTTAGCAGCTGTTCCACAAAAATTGAGAAATGCTAAAGTACAAATACTTAACCAAAAGGAGACCGTAATATTAGTGCTGCAATAATACGTTTCAAGGTTGGCCAGAAAAGTATGAGCTAGTTCAGACACGTATGATCTCCCTAATATCATGACCATGGTATACTCATAAAAATCGACAATCGAAAAGACAAATTCTCCCCAAAGCACTTTCTCTTGTCATTGTGTTGATCAATTCCACCCTTTTTCCACTATAACTCTATAGCTCACAGTGAGCTGGGGGGAGATCGGAGGCCGGAGGCAGATGAAAGGCGGGCTAATGTTCTCCATGGTGGAATTGAGCAGAAAATAAGAAGGTTAAAGCAGCTCTTTAAACAAACAGAGTGTGAACTCAGGTAACCGTGCGTGTAACACACACACACACACACGGATGCAAACTTTCTTTCCAACACACACACACACACACACATTTGTGCTCCTCTTTGCTGGTTGTCTGTGAATATGTGCAGTTCGGGACAGTGTGGGGGGTGCTGGAAGGGCTGGTTCAGTCGGTTTTGTAGGGCCTTGGAGACCACAGTCCGGATATGGGCTTCATGCAACAGCAAGTCAATTACTCCCTCTCACAGATGGAAACACACTTTATTATCGAATCAGAACTGTCTGAAGCTTGAAGCACACTTATTTATATTCAGATTATGTTCAGATAAACATTTACAGTACTCAACAATGTGATGTGAATGACTGCATTGTCTACCTGTGTGTGAGAGTGTGTGTGAGTGTATAATGACAGTAAGTGAGTCATTAGTTTGACATTTGCACAGAGCTCAGTATATTACATTACCTCTGCAGAGCCTCTCTGTTCTGGGAGCCAAGCGCTTATTTTCACCAGTTATTTAGTCACCCAGGGCAAGACACAACCTTTTACTTAAAGACGCACACACATGCACTGCCACACGCAGAACGCACACAAGCACGGCTGTTCAGTGCGAATGCCTGAATGAATACCCATAACAAAAACAAACCCCAGAGAAGAGCTCTTTAAAATCTTAAATGTCTCGCATAGAAAACAATGAGATTATATGGAGAGCAAACTGAGTCTCATGCTTATGACGTTCTTATTTTTCCCTGACAAATGTCTCACATTAGCCAAGATAATAAAGTCTGCATTCAAAGTTAATTTTAATTTGAACTCAAATATTTTGCATCAGATTATTCCATATTATTTGATCTATATATACAAATACTGTAAAAACAGTACACTGTGCATAATATATACTGTAACAAGAAGTAAAAAAAGCTATATAGTTCACCCAAAAACTAAAATTCTGTCAGAATTTACTCACCCTCATGTTGTTCAAACCCTGTAAGACCTTCGTTCATCTTCAGAACACGAATTAAGATTTGTGAAGATTCGAGCTGAATCACTCTTCCATACTAGTCCATAGGCTTCTTGAGGGATTGAAACTTGCCGGCGTCGAAAAGTTATTAAAGACATCGTTAAAATAGTCCAAGTGACTACAGTGGCTCAATCTTAAATTTATCAAATGACGAGAACACTTTTTGTGCGCAAAACCCCCCAAAAATAATGACTTTATTTCAAATGTTCATTTCCTTCTCTCTTGGCCTCGAGTCAGGTTACTAGTTTAACCAGCGTTGGCCAATAGTGAGCCTTCGTGTGACGTAGCTCTACGCAATTACGCTAGTTTAACTGACTAGACGATCAAAGAGAAGGAAGTGAATAGTTGAGATAAAGTCGTTATTTATGTTTTCGCACAAAATGTTTTCTCGTCGCTTGATAAAGTTAAGCTTGAGCCACTGAAGTCACTTGGACTATTTTAACGATGTCTTTAATAACTTTCCGAGGACGGCAAGTTTCAATCCCTCAAGAAGCCTATGGACTGGTATGGAGGAGTGATCCAGCTCTCAGATTTCATCAAAAATATCTTAATTTGTGTTCCGAAGATGAACGAAGGTCTTACAGGGTTGGAACAACATGAGCGTGAGTAAATACTGACAGAATTTTCATTTTTGGGTGAACTATCCCTTTAAATAATCACATTTAATGATTATTTATCAACATAAAATTGTATTGCCTCTGCTGATTCAGTTGTCAATAGTTTAATTTGTATTCATTCGTCAAAGCTGAAGTGCAACATCTGAGCAAAGACTTCTGGGTTTATCATTAGCTTGTTTATTAAGGCAGTGATGTGAGGAGGTTTATATGTGTTTTTGCCTAAATACCTGCAACATATGACAGCCTTGCAAGACAGCGCAAGGTCGAGGAAGGACTGTCGCACTTCGAAAGAGAGGGCGTATTTTAACGTCTGTCCGTCAATGATGAGAGCCAACTCGTTCTCCTTCCTCAGAGAGTCACCCAGCGAGGAGCAATGAGCTGTTAGTGTGGCCCTGGTAGCCTGGGGGTTAAGAAAGAGAGAAAATTTATAACCACACATACTAAAAACCCATAATATATTACACTACGTACATATTTGTCATTTTTACAGTTTAATTTCTACACCATGTCCATAGCTATATAAAAGTACTTCAATCTCTTCCTGAGAAACATGCCAGCACACATTTATTTCTCTAACACTACACTTCACGCACTTCTCACGCACACACACGGGTCACACACATATCAGAGCAAGAGTGTAATGCCAAAGGAAGTTGAAGGGGATGTTTTAAGTGGTGTCATTGGGGCTGTTAGCGGCACAATCTCTCTCTCTCTCACACACACACACCTGTTACACATCATCCTGTCACCCGACACACTCTAAGCCCTTAAAGGACTCGAAAGCATGAACTGTTGGCCACCAACAACTTTATATGGGGAGAGAGAGTTATAAATATGATAAAGGATGGAGGAAGGGAAGAAAGAAAAGAAACGTTTGTCAAGTTTTTGTGAAGAACTTGGATGTTAGCTAGTTCGCATTTTATAAAAGCAACAGATGTCTATTGGTATGTCCGCATTTAGATACGTAGGCAATGTGTGAGATGAAAAGACAAGGAGAGATAAAAAGAGATAAAAAGTGCGCGTTTATTGAATTGTGGTTGCAGGCAGTTTTAGATTGAGATCTTGATAATGGGGACAGAATCACTAATAGAGAAAACAAACATCCTTCATTCTGTAACGAGAACCATGTGGACGACGCAGCACGCAACAAGGCACGGCGCTGGCGGCCACACACGCATACACACACAAACATACATGAACGCAGCTGTTGAAGTCTCTGTCAGCGATACCACAGCCTATGTGTAACACAGAGAATGAACTCACTCCACACTGCCAGCTCTAATCAATATCTTGCCGAAACGATTGACTTGCTTCAAAACTTAGTGAGCTGCCTACATAAGTAGGTGTTATATCTGTACTTTAGATGCAAAGACTGTTCTTAAAAGGTAGGAAACCTAATTATGTTCTCTAAGTGCCACTGTAGAAATAAAGACAATCCCAGAATGCACCATGCTGCCCTTGCCCTTGAAAAACAAGTGCGCTACAGTGTACTTCCAAGTATATTTTTAAAAACTGTACTTTCAGATAATACAATATTAATGAAGTAAAAGGAAACTTAAGAAAGTACATTTTTTATCACTCTAAAAGTTTTATTTTAAACTACGTCTTTAAACTTTAAATTAACATCAATGTTATTAATAATCTTTTGTTCTTTTAAAGTATGCTCATTTTTATGTGTTGACTAAAAACTAAAGCACATGTAAAGCACTTGATTATAATTTTAAACTGTAGTGTGATTTGATATTTAATGTTAATATATTTTAAATAAATTCAAAAGCTTAATTACAATTTAATTACATGGTACACGTTTCAATAGAAATGACATTAAAGTTTATTTAATTACCAAGAATGCTTGACAGTACATTTGACAATAAACTTAAACCATATTTCAAAGACAAAGTAATTATGAAATTGCATATTAAAATGGAAGTCCTATTTAAGTGGGTAAAAATAATAATTAATGCATTTAATCTAAATTTAAACTTAAATTAAATTTAAAATCTAAATTTAAATGTAAACATATTTTCATTTAATTGTAAATAACATGCATTTAAGTTTTAAAAAACTGCATTTATTTGGCATTTTACTTGAAAAAAAGATAAGCATATCTATGTTAAGTACATAATATCCATATGTACAATTTTTAAAAGTATGCCAAAGTGTACATATTTTTTACAAGAGTGGGCTCAGTGGAAAGCAAAATATTTAGGGATAATTTCATTTGATACTAAAAAAGCACCACTAAAATAATATTTGATTTAATATTTGTATACTTACGATGATTATTAGCTTAGCTTAGCAACATGCTAACATCAATCTCTATTTAAACTAATCGCAAGTTGAGTCTCATATGTGGATGTGTGGTACACAATATATGTTTGTGTCTATGTAGAGCATTCCAAGATGTTTAGGATGTTCCCTCAGAAGGCAGCAGTCTATGTAGGCAATAGCAGCTCGATAGGTTTCAGAACACTGTTTATAGCGGAGCTGAAATCACCCATCAAGATTCCTGAGTAACTAGAGCTCATCTCCTCTCCTCAGCTCAACCCAAACATGTTTTGCCTGTGTGTGTTTCTTTTCATTCAGGAATTCCTGTTTGCTTTCACCTTTCCCAGTAAACATGAGGGGGGAAAAAAAACAGAAACGTAATGAAAGAATTAAGACTGATTATGGATCAACGGAGTGCTGAATGTCAAAGCATTTGTGCGTGTGTCTCAGTGTGTAAACAGTGGCCTAAGAAAACTGCTACCGGTAATTCATTACCGACAAAATTTCCCAGCTAACTTAGTTTATTTATTAAAGACAGCTCTTTATTTTCCACACTCTCCATTAGACACTCACGGCTGCTTCAGTTTAGTATTAACTTCAGACAGGAAGTGTCAATGTGTCTCTCACCAGGGTGTGAATTTAGAAGTCTTTATCTGGGACTAACAGGACTGTTTAAACATCTTATGTATTTAACAATTAAATGACCACATTAATGACCTTCTAAATCTTTGTGTATGAGTGGGTGTGTGGGTTTGTGTGTGTGTGTGAGCAATTAGCTTTGTGTTGCAGTAAACATCCTAATACTCTACCACAGAGGTGCTAATAAGCCTGAAGAACGTGCCAGTCAAACCTCTAGCTGTCACGGTTGCCAGCGCCGTTTCCATGGAAACCGCCAACAGTCACTAAATCCTAATCCCTGGGCAAACCAGAAGCCACACACTGAACACAGAATTCATACTGCATTCATGCAAACTCAAGCCATACAGTTTGACTGTCCATAATAGAGCCCGACCGATAAAGGATTTTGAAGGCCGATACCGATGCAAATATTTGTTGGTTTTAAAATCCGATATTCCGATATATCGGCGGGTATTTTTTTTTTTCAGAAACGCGCAACAAAACATTAACGTATTTCCCTAACATTAGTTATTTGTAGTTCTTTATGAGTTTTAATAATTTAATAATGCATTTTAAAAAGAAACTTGTGCCCTCTGGTGGACAAACTATACATCTCCATCACTCATGACATGGTTGAAGCTTGTTTCGTCCATTTTTATTTTATTTTTGAAATATTAATTTATCGGCCATTATAACTGCCGATACCGATAGTTTGGAAAATGCCTAATATTGGCCGATAATATCGGCCTGTCGATAAATCGGTCTGACTCTAGTCCATAACCTTGCCAATACTTTAGGAAAGGGGATACCAACCAGGTGGACAGGGCCTACAAAGCAGTCCCCAAGATGAAAAAACATTCATTTACCACTTTATTTGCTGAATATGAATCTCCAATGCACGTTCACGCAATAAAGTCTGCTCTTGCGTTAACAACTTTTTTGTGTGTGTGCAAACAAAGCTCTTGCGTCGCAAATTAAACAACTGGAGTCACATGAATTACTTTAATGATATCTCTACCACCTTTACTAGCCCTTTAACTCTTTCCCTGCAATTGACAGAATTTTCCGGATTTCCATGATTTGATTGTTATACAGTAGTTGGCGCTGTGACATCTTCAGAAAGATTACTGAATTTCCTGATTAAAACTCATGCAAACATAGATGCAGACACATATGTAAGCAATTGCATATGTAAAATCACCAACATTAAACCGAAAATAAATCAAAACCGAATAAAATGTCGACTATAAGACTGTGCAAGCAAGTTGATGGATTCGATCTACTCCAACTTTGCTTTGATCATTGTTCTGAATCTGATCATGATGTAGTCTTTGGCAAAAAAATGTTTTTCTCCGCTTTTTGCTCATTTATTTATTTATTTTTAAATGAAACTTGCCCACATTCAAGTGTTTATTAAAAAAAGCAGAGGGTCTGTTCATTCGTTCGTTTAATACATTGCATGTTATTAAAGATAATAACATGAAATTTTCGTGAAAATGAATAAAAACATTGGGAGTGGCTGGAAAAATGTACAATAAGGATGTTAATGTTAATTTATAATACTTCTGTTCAAGATTCATTTCTAATACATTAATGTTAATATTTAAAACATAAAATATGCTGAAATAAAAATCACATTAGTATATGTGTAACGTTCATTGTTAGTTTGTGATGCCTTATGCTTTAATAAATCCTAATGAAATTTCCCATATAACCACTAAAATATTTTGCAAGCAACATAATAAATTGTATTATAGTAGATGTTTTATGCTCTTAAAAGTGTCAATGCCACCTTTCTATATAAAAAAAATACTATTTTAAAATGTGTAAAAGTCAAACAAAAATATAAAATATAACTAAATAAATAATATGAAAGTACTAGCACTAGTGTATTCCAAATGATGTGGGACTGAGTTCCAGGACTGACCATGTGTTGAATGAGTTCAGGTGGTGAAATCGGTTTGACAGGATGGAATGAGTGGACAGATGCTATTGGACAGCTGCAAGTGATGCAATTTCATTGTTAATCTATTATTTCTATCAAAACCTTTTGCTAGGAACTCTTGAGACACTGGAGTTTTACCCATTAAGGACTCATTTACTGTAGACTCCAGACTTCCCCTATTTTGGATGTGCTGTACATTTTTCTATGTCATTCCCTGACAGATATCAAAAGTGAATGTATTTCATGATCCAAGGTAAATGTTATTTTCTGTATATCTTTGTGCTGGGAACTGAATAGAGTACATGTTCTCACAAACACATACATTTATAGAACACACTACTGTACAAGCGCACGCACACACACACACTGGGGCTTTGTTGTGTTCTCAGGTTCCTGCGAAAGGGATCTTATCACATTTATATTTAGAATAGAGAGAAAGGCCCCTTTGGTGTTACATAGCACAGATCACATTCTCCATTCATAGAGAAATCACACACACACAAGTGAGTGAGACATAAAGGCCAACTGCTGTGACATATGACAGGTCACCTTATCTGTTCAATAGCAGTTGTGTCATAAACAGCATAAGGCAGCAAGGCCTCACACACACACACACACACGGCTTATCTGTTCAAAACCACAAACTTTTGAACAGAATAATAAAAAAACGAAAGCCTGTGCCCATAATACTTTCATTACATAGGAACTTTTTATAAAAGCAATAACATACAAGAGGCTTTGTAATAAAGCAATAACCTACAAGAGGCTTTATAATAATCTGAATTAATCATGACTAAAGATTGCATTTTTTATTTAAAATTCCCTTTAGTAATTGCAAGTAATGTTCTATCCTTTCAATAAATTACGTATAATACATAATAAAGATTACATTCGCAATACAACAGAGCTTTCAATGAGTCGTATGAACCACTTTTATGGTACTTTTAAGTTGTTTTGTAGGCGCTACGATCTGTCATTGCATAGCAATAGCTGGATGAACCTTCAAAAATGTCTACTTTAGTGTTTGAAAGACTAATCTCATTACAGATAGATGGTTTCTTAAACGGTAAAAATTTACATTTTAGGGTGAACTATCCCTTTAAATGTCAGACCCACACCTCATACCTACCTATAAAACATAATCAAATTGGATGCCTGTAATGTTCTGGCCCCTAAATAATGTGCGTGACAGATTTCGATTACATGACGGCCGTCTTGCGCATATGCTGACCTCTTAGCTCTATGTATAATATTAGCATTACACATAGGGACGAGGAAAGAGGAGCAGTGTGTGTGTGTATGATTAATGACTACTACAGTGAGCATGTTTGTGTAAGTCAGCTGTGTGACAGCAAACAAGGAATGTAGCCTATCAGAAAGATCAGACAGACAGACAGACAGTGTGTGAGTGTGTCTGGGAAAGTAAGAGTGAATATGTGTGGGCCACGGAAAGACTATGCACGACAAAGGAAGGAGGCAAAGAAAATGTTTGGATTAGAATAACTCCATGTGTGTTACAAGGACACCAGCTGTCTGAATGGGACTGTGTGTGTGTCACAGCAGAGTGACAGATGGAACTTGTCACAGAGTCTGAGTCAAAAGCCATCATGTTTACCCAGGAGGCTTTGCTGGCAGAATTTGTTTTGACGAGATTGAGCGCCAAAAGGAGATAGCGTTACTCCTCACTCGACACACACACTTATGCTTGAACACACTCTAATGCACACCCTGTTCCTGTAAATTTGGGAGCCGCTGACAGACGGAGGAAGACGCGCGTGACAGGAGAGACCGAGAAAATTGACCAATCACACCATCAACAATGACGAACAAACTTATTTGTGCATTATATAGATGACAGACTGAAAGAAAGGAGGAAGACGTGAAGGACCGTGATGTGTTGGCCCAACTGTGCGTTACATAAAACGGCAGCTGACACACACACACAAACACACTATACTCTTCATACCCTTCACACAAACACACACAGCTGTGACATTAGGCTCACCCCAGCATTGTCTGAGGTATTGTGGGTTATTTTAAGTGCTCGGTAAGATAAGAAAGAATTCTTCAGTAGATTTTAACCAAGACAAGAACCGCCCATCTCCTTAAAATGTCAATCTTTTACTATGCTTTTTACTAGTGGTATAAAACGTCAAAATAACAAGCCATTAAACATTCATTCAATAAATCCTATAATGTAGTTGGACAATTTTCAAAAGTACAATATTGACTACAGCAAATGGCGGCCCATTAGAGGAAGAACAAAAACAACATTATGATTTATTAATCAATCACCAGCCATTACAACCACAAACTCTTGTTGCAGATTGAGCCTAATGGAACTATTCACACTGAGCCAGAATGTTCATCACATGTTTTTGACATCAACAAACAAGTCAAATAAAAAGACTTGGCAAGTAATACTGATCAAATGGGAATTGGATTATATGCCCTTATAAAATAGATCCAGTTCTGGATGCTGATTGGTCAATTTATCCAAGCAGCTGCGCTAAAACATGTCGAGTAAATAAAATGCGCATTTAAAAAATAAATAAATTCGATTCTATATTTATCTGTTTGATGAGAATAAATATTTTTACTGGCCAAACCACAATAGAATTATAAATTTGTATTCTTAGCAATGCATTTTTATATTTGCTAAAATAAATTCTATTCATTTAAATTTTCTATTTACACTACAGTTTCAAAAGTTTGAAAGAATAATTGCTACATTTATGCAGTTTTTATTTAACATTTATAATATTCCAAATCATTTCATTTTTAAATAAAGGTTCTTTTGACATTTCTTTTCATCAACGAATCCTGAAAACGGCACATCACGATTTCCACAAACACATTTAGCAGGACGGTTTTCAATAGGAAATACAATAGGAAATGTTTTCAAGCAGCAAATCAACATCAACGGATCATGTGACACTAAAAAGACTGGAGTAATGTTGCTGACAGCTATTTCACTGTACTATTTTAAAATAGTATGACACAATATTTATTCCACTACTTATTTATGATCACATAAATGCAGCCTTACAGTTACTTTTTTAAAATTACATGCAACATTCGGCCAAACTCATGCTTCTCATCTAAAAATGGATATGAGTTTAAAATAAGCAATTTGATGCTATGGGTAACAATACCCTTTAGCCATAATTATAATTTACAATTATAGCATGGCCTTTTCCAACAACAACTAAACCGACTCATCTGAACATACGGTTTTCATTTTACAAACAAAATGACTGGAAACAAAAAGAGCCAAAAATCTGACAACTGTATTTTTACAAACCGTTATCAGTGTTTCTTAACAAGGGGGGAAAAATTAAACACATAACGGTCATCCTGTTTCTTCTTGGGAGCTTTTATTTCCAGATCTCTGCTCAGTCTATGTGTGTATGTGTATGTGTGTGAGTGATGCTCTGCTGTCTGGCCAACTGTTCTCAGAGATCTGAGACTTTACAAGCTCCCTAGTATGACTATCTTTGCCTGGAAGTAATTAGCCTTGTGTGTAAGAAAAAATAGAGGAGCAGACTAGTTGTCCAACAACAGAGTAGTTGGGAAAAATAAGGAAAACATTATCAAAGAGATTGATAGCTATTATAATTCACCTTTTAAAACTAGAATCATAAGCATTCGTTAAAGCATTCTTTCTTTAAAATCCGCCTAGAGGACAGAAATGTTCTTGTAATTAAAAATTCACCTGTGTGTGCTATTCAGCTTTTTCTCATGCGCTTAATGAGTGTGTCCATTGCTCCGTCCCAAATAGTATTCGAAATTAGAATTAGTGTGTCCCAAACCCTAGTATGTTGAAATGAGTATTACAAAGATATACGGATGGTCTACTTTTTCCAGTTAGAATCCCGAAGTGCAGATTCCTACGATTAAAACTACGAAACAAGATTAAAAGTGTTAAAAAGCTACAAACATGACGAATGTGCGAGTCTGACTGTTAAAAGGGGTTTTGGTGATTCATTATCAGTATCTAACCTGACAAAAAGTTTTTATTCAATGTTATCCACATTATATTTAATCTGCAACAGCATTGCAAACTTTTAAGTTTGGTCATTTACTTTCAAATGCATCATTATGCAAATTGTAAACACACAAGGAGAGTACTCCGCATGAGAACTACCACATTTCTCTCAAAAACGGTAGGAAAATAAATTATATCTTAACTGATGATTGACAGGGCAGTTTAAACTGTGACAGCATGAATATAACTATGTTACACACTCAAAAGAACGTAACCTTTCCTTCACAAAAACACAGCACATACTTTTTGGGGCATAATATAAGTTCGCAGCACATATGATCCATCATGGCTTTCATCATGTACAGGTGAAGGTAATTAAAGTGTCTGGTGTCATCATTGAGAACAAGAACAAGAGACACACACTTTCCTCACCCGTCCACACCCAACGACCTCCAGAGACAACACACACACATATATACATACACAATATGTACTTACATCCAGGGAATCTTCATTGACGATGACAAGGGACATGCCATGTGACACCAGCTTACAGGAGTAACCTGAGGCACAGAGGAGTTCCAGTAGAGGCGTTAAACAAAGCCACACATAGACACCCCAACAACAACTTAACCTCTTTGTATATCTGTCATTACCCACTAATGCTCGTCTGCTGTCCAGTGTTTTATCTCCAGTCTCACACAATTTATTTTGAGCTGTCTGTCTGCAGCGCCCGCCGGACTGCCTATCTGACCTTCCGTCCACGTCTCCATTAATCTGGGAGTTTGTTTGTGGGTTTTCAATCAGTGTCTGTTTGATATTGTTTTCTGTCATATGTGTGTATTTATGTCAATTATACAAATGTAATATATTAAAAAGAAAAGCTTATTTTCTTTAAAAAAAAAAAAAAGTCATCAAGTCTTCCATGCTGAGCTTAAACCAGCCTCAGGTGGTTTGCTTGTCTTTTTGTATAGGACAAATATGATGTTTTTCCGTTGATTTAACAAGGAAAGTGAGACCATTAAGTGAAACTGTGACACGAGTTTACATTTGAGATTATATATATATATATATATATATATATATATATATATATATAAACAAAGTAGGGCTGTCAAACGATTAATTGCATCCAAAATAAAAGTTTTTGTTTACATAATATATGCTTGTGCACTGTGTATAATTATTTTATGTACATAAATACACACACATGCTTGTATATATTTAAGAAATATTTTCATGTGTATACTGTATATAGATTTATATATAATTTATATCATAAATATTTTATATATAAATAATATTTTTTTTCTTAAACATACATGCATTTGTGTGTATTTATTTACATAAAATAATTATACACAGTGCACCCACATATATTATGCAAACACAAACTTTTATTTTGGATGCAATTAATCGCGATTAATCGTTTGACAGCATTACTATAAACCAATGACTTTGCCTCCTTATTTCAGGACACCACTGCACACCACTGATGTATATCCATGTATGACACACACCGATATTGATGGCCGTCTCCTGCTTGTCCCCAGTCAAAACCCAGATCTTGATGTCGGCCTTCATGAGTGTTGCTATGGTTTCCGGGACTCCCGCTTGCAGTCGGTCTTCTATCGCAGTGGCACCCAACAACAGCAAGTTCTGCGTGACACAGAGATGAAAGAGGAAGATGGAAGAAGAAAAGAGATAAGAGTCTTTTTAATTAAAAATCTATCACTTAAACTTTTAAAATTGAATGAATTGGACTTTAAATTTAATTGGACAGCATTCATTTGATTACATTTATTTGTGTAATTATTAATATTGTCTTGTTTCTGGAAAATATTCCAAAATTGTGTATATGATAAAATGTTTATGGATAATTTAAAGTGTACAATTTATATGCATTTAAATTAAAACTACAGCAGAAAAATGGAATTTCTTTATACATTTCAAATAATTCTGTTCAATTCTGAATCCTGTTCGCTACCTTCAGAAAATGAACTGGATTATGATTTTAGGGTGTTATGGGTGGTGTTACTTGCTGACCCTGAAGTCTTTACTCTTTATTATATCCTGGTTTCTAGATATTGCTCGAGTTCTATGGGAGTTTTAAATTCGTTTTATTCTCCACAGGCAAAAATCCTTAGAAAAGTAATAGCACACAACATTTTTTTTTTACCTTTCTACTAAATAAAGCCAGGTAACACACCTCAACACCTTCTCACCACCACTCAATCTGCTCTCATTTACTCCTCTTCCTCTTTTACCATATCCAATTCTTCCTATTTTCTTTTTTCCTCATGTATGTGTATGTAAGGGAATATTTGTGGAGTGTTTAGTGTATTTATGTGTGTGTGCAGAGGTAACACAGCAGTGTTGTTGATTCTGGTTTTATGGGGCTTTTGGCAGACCGGCGCAGGTAATTATACTCACTGTGGTATACCAACCCCTCCTCAGACTACTAATCTGGGCCAGAGCCCTGAAAAGCACACAAAACCCAACAAACTGGATTTTCACTGCTCTATATAACAGCGTCTGTGTCCTGGGGCTTACATCTCTGATCAGTAAGTTCGAAGTTTTGCAATACTGTGTAATCCTTCCTGATGGGGAATCAGTGAGTTAATAGCTCGTAGCAGTTAATAAGAGAACAACAGAGCACCACCTTTTGTACAATATGAGTTCACAGCTGTGATGTAATGTAATGTAAATGTAATGTTACAGTGCCACCTGTTGACAAATCAAAGCACTGCAGCAAAGGCACATCAATATACAATCTCAGCATCAGACTCTATCCATCTATCTATCTATCTATCTATCTATCTATCTATCTATCTATCTATCTATCTATCTATCTATCTATCTATCTATCTATCTATCTATCTATCTATCTATCTATCTATCTATCTATCTATCTATCTGCGAGAGACAGTGCATGAATTGTCTTGCCAATTATTCCTAGCAAATATACAAGATATCCTTTCACACTTTTGCTCAGTTCTGTCAAAGAGGTCTGATTTCAGATCTACATCGTGTGTAACAAAATGCAGTTCATCTATGTGACCCAGTCTTGCAGTAAGATGTCTGGATTGGTGAGAGTAAACACACACTATCTCTCAAACAATCCCCTGATCAAACATAATAGCTATTCTGTAGTCATAAGCATAATAAATTATGCACCTTCTCTATGAGTTCGTAGCATTCCTCCAGTTTCTCTGCCCTGTCCTTTAGCACAGTACTGATACGATTGTACTCCTTCAGCCATTCCTGGTATGCCCCCTCCTCAAGGTCCACGTACGCAAAACAAAGTGTCCGCAGCCCTGCGCATGCAAACAAACACAAACCAAAGTTAATCCAAAGAGAAGATAAACTGTGACAAACAATGACAGGCTTGAGAAACTCTTCACCTTCAGTGGCAAACTGCTCCAGATGGGCCAAAGTTAGCTCCTTATACTGTGACGTCTCGTTCAGACGCTCAAAAATCACATTGTCCTGTAATACATGCATAGCATCATTACATTGGTATGACTTGTGCCATATAATCCAATCCATATTGAGTATAAGCTTTAACATCATAAGGAATGATGAATTACTAACAAAACTAACAAAATATTAATGTGTATGTACTGTAAACACTCCCATTCAAACGATTGGGATCATTAATATTGTTTTTTAAGAAAGCCAAACTTTTATTCTGTAAGGAATAAAAGTATAAATACATTTATAATGTCTTTTTTGTAAAATATTTCACAATGTTACAGTTTTTACTGTATTTTTGATCATATAAAAGGCAGCCTTAATGAGCTTAAGAGACAAAAAAAATCGTACTGACCCCAATTTTTCGAACATTACTGTACATTCTGTCTCCACGCTAATTATGTGGTTTATGAGACACTCACCGCTCCCTTGCAATAAAGTCGAAGTTTGCCTGTAGGTGTTCTGACAATCACTGACATCCGTTTGCGATTGCTGCAAAAAAAAAAAAAAAAAAAAAAAAAGACTTTTAATTGAAACACAACAATTATGTTTGTGATGTTGTATGTGTGATGTTGTGAGAGTTCACAGCTGTTTCCTACCTGGAAAATTCTAGTACATTAAGAAGCTCATATGTCTGCTCTTTTTCTCTCTGAGAAACAAACACAAGAAAAGCACAAATTAAATACAAAAACATACAGTTTGAATTCTTATTATTAATGGCAAGAAAACACACACTAACCGCCTCTATGATGACTGAATGTGGTGTTCGTCCAGTAAAAACAAATCCCAGACCCTTGGCACCTTTAACCAGCGCTCCTTCATCTGAAAAAACAAGATTATGGAAACATCAGTCAAAAGTCTGAAATTTGTTGACAAAAGCACAGTTAAAAAAACAGTATGATTCCAATCTAAAATAACTGATTTCTATTAGATTTCAAAAATGTAATTTATTCCTGTGTTGACAAAACAGAATTTTTAACATCATTACTCCAGTCTTCAGTGTCACATGATCCTTCAGAAATCATTGTAATAGGTAATTTGCTGCTAAAGAAACATTCTTATTATTATCAATGTTGACAACAGTTGTGCCGCTTAAGATATTTAGGGAAACCATGATACACCTCATTAGTGAAATTGTGTTTTGTGACAATATTATTATTATATAAAACCGGTTTTAAGAGTGACAATTAAGTGGTTAATTACTACATCAAGCTGAAGGAAAAGCTTCAAAAACCAATCAGAAACCAAAAATAATATTGTGGTACCTGGTGAGGAAGCCTGGTAGATAAGTTGGTCTTCTTCTCGCTCGGGAACAACAGTATGACAAACAGCCATCATGGTCAAAAACTCACAAATCTGGGGGCATGTGGGCTATAGAGAAGGAGAAAAGGGCAGATTTGAACTATTAACATGCTGATATCCAAGAAACTGTGTTTTAATATCCAAGGTATAGTAGAGAACAGCTAAAAAGCTCTTACGTGGTTCTTCTCAATGTTCTGGATAAGAGCAGGATCATCAAACTCAGTAGAATTATGACTAGTAGAGGGAAGGTGACTGCAAAAAGACAATGGACAACATAATTTCATAATGCACATTATCCTCTTAGACTTGTGTAATATTTGCCAGGGTACAGGACAGATAGATTCGGAGGCATCTGACCTGAAGTCCTCCATGGATCGATCGCATTCCAGGTCTGGGAAGTGCCTGGAGACAGCATTATAGATCAGTGGCCACTCACACAAATATAAACAAAAAGTAACAGATCAATGCACCCTAATAGAGCCAGAACGATGCAAAGCACAAGGATAATGTGAGTGTATTGATGTACGAAAGCAAAAGGACACCACAATTACCCGTATGTAATTCCAGCTATGGTGCACTTCTTAAAGTGCATGATGTTGCAGGTGAGAGTGCCAGTCTTATCTGAAAATAGATATTTTACCTGAAAAAGAAAAAGACAGTGAATGAGACGTACTGGAGTCGAGGTAGATTAAGTTAATAAGAAGAGCTTCTCCTCACTTGGCCAAGTTCTTCATTCAGATTGGATGTTCGGGCCATAGCGGGAGTGTCTGTCTCGGCGTAATACATCTCGACATCCTGTAAATACGCATGAAGAACAAAGCATTTATTCATAACGGTTGAAAATCTTAGGTTTCAGTTTGAATCACAGTTCTCTGCTCAGGGTTTTAGTACCTTTTGAAAAATGCTGTATTTTAATATTGAGTTATGCAAAAATAACTCTAGAGGAGCATTTTGATAAATATATGTCACTGTATTACATATTACATACACACTAAATAATGAATACATCACTAATAGGTTATGTTTGAATAAACCTGTCATGAAAATGAGTCATTTCAGTTTATTATCGTTTAAATTTCACAAATCCCACCATAATACATTTTCGGTTTCGGCCCAGAATTTTCCTTTCATTGATCCCAATGTAATTGGTGATATTTAGTCTTATTTTACCCAGTTAATGAAGAGAGCCTGTGTGAATCTGACCACTTCTAGAGTAACCAGTAGGCTGATTGGAATCAAGTTGTTATAGAGGATGATGAAGGTCAGCAGATTGTACCAGAAGTTCAGGGAGATGTCACCTGGATAGACAATGACATAAGCTAATTTAATATACATTATGCTAAATTATCCAAAGCCTTTATTTAGGGCTAATATGTGGGAATAAGTGAAAAGGTAGGTTTCACTGAGTATATTTACCTGCACGGGAAAGGTACCAGCAAGCCTGATCCGTGTGCTGTTCGTTCCATATGGCGGCCCCGATGGAGCTGATCAGCGCCATGACCAGGAGAATCCCGAACAGAACCAGGATCTGCATGTTTGTCACACGCTCCACATTCGAGCGTTTCAGTGGAGCTTTAGTGGAATTCTGCAGGATGGAAACATTACATTAATGCTATATCCACTACCAGTCAGTAAAAATAATCTTTAATTAATTTTAATAATAATAAATGCAGCCTATTATAGATGTAAAGTCTCTAATTTACCATGTTTGAATCTATAGAAGTTATTAAAATGGTCTATAATCTATACAATTTTAAAAAAAGTACTGTCAGTGTAAAGGACTGCAATACCATAACATTCTGATAATTTACATAGCATTTAATTCAAATAATACTTTTTTTTCCAGTTACAATTTTTTAGAATAAAACACCATAACTCAGTTGTTATAATCCCAAAAAGTCATTTTACTATTGCTGTATTTATTCATATTTTAGAAATACTTTTTTAGAAATTATGAAATAATAAATTAGTCATTTTTATGTGCTTTTGTCTTTTATATATATATATATATATATATTTCTGTTTAGTTTTTATATTTATTTCAGTTTTAGTTTTAGCAATTTTATTACTTCAACTTATTTTATATCAGTTAGTTGCCAAGCAACATTTTTTTTTTTTTTAAATTCAAATTTTTTTAAAATCTGATTTATATTTTATTTTATTTCAGTTTTATTTCAATTAACAAAAAATATTTTAATAGTTTTAGTTAACAGTAGCAACACATCCAGCATTTTGAGATCCCTTACCTGCATGAGTTTAGAATCATGTCCAGTGTAGACTACAATTCCCACAACCCACTGTGTGTTCCTGAGCTGGGCGCCTCGTAACAGCACCTGGTCCGGCCCAAGTGGAACTGGGCTGTAATTCAAGCACATGGTCACTAAATGAAGTGTGTGTTACATTTTAAATTCACACTATTTCAAATACTGAACTGACATACTTGAGGTTGTCTAAGCGCAGTGTTCCAGTGAAGTCGTACAAGTGTCTGTTTGGCCCCTCACATTCAAGACGACCAGCCAAAGCTACCAGTTCTTCCAGAGACTGACAACTAGCTGTGAGTGAGAGACCCTGGAACAAAAAACAATAATGTTCAGAGCTCCAGACTAACATTTAAGAGCAATAACCCCTGTGCCACAAAGTTTGTGACTTTTCCTACCTCATACTTTAATACAAAAAAGTCAAACTTTAACAAAAATGACAAATGACTTGGTATATTATAATACTAATTTCATAATTTCTAAATATAAACTCAAAAGCAAAACATGTGGGGGGAAAAATAACTTTTTTGGTAAACTTTTTAAATAAAAATGTTAGTTTTCCTACATCTTGAAAAATCTTTTTTTCCAAGATGAATCTTTTAGTTTTACAAATGGGGACAATCTTTTATTTTTAATGTGGGGGTTACCACATTAAAAATAAACTTTAAATTGGAAAATATTTAGAGCTTCGAAGTGCTGGAAAAAGTGTGAAGCATGAATGAAGCCTGAAATGAATAATGTAAAAACAGCCGACTGTTTCTGTCACAATACCATGGTTACGATTAATGCTACAACATTAAGTCCATGGTGAATGCTGGTGGTTTGTGGAGTGAAAAGCCTTCTAGCACTTTTCCATTCATGTAGTCGTGCAGTAACGATATCATATAATCGTCAATTATTCGTCCGTGCTGATAAACAGTCTGTGCAGCTCAAACAAGAGGTTTCGTTCTGCATTTGTTTCTCACAAGCAACAGAAATGGCAGCTCTTATCAACTGAGAAATGTGGTCGTGGAGCCAGTGTGACCTCTAACTAAATTTAGTCGGAACGAAAAAAGGTTGCAAAAAGTTCTGATGTTACACTCTTAGAGCACATTATACAAAACTGTACCCAAAAATGTACCTGTCGGATCTTGAGGTTGGTTTCGCCATCTAAGTTGGATGTTTCAGTATAGCACATCGCCTGAGGTTCACTGTGAGAAAAACAGCCGCAGATTTTGAACACAAAACAACACAACACAAATATAAACACAACACACAAAAATATTTCATTGAAACATATTCCCAAAATCCCAATTACAACTTATTTTTCTCAGCTATAAATCACATTACAGGACGACAAACTCCACGGATACACACACAAATACACTGCGGTGCTGACCTGGAGGACACTATGACCATGTCAGCCGGGAGATGCTGGCCATTGGTCACCTTGACTATGTCTCCCACTGCCACCTAGTGGGCAGGTGCAGCATTGCAACAGCATGAGGAGGAAGAAAATGAGATTAAGAAATAGATCCCAGTGCTTGGAAACAAAGAACAAAAGGAGCAACAAACAGCAGGATGTAAAAAAAAAAAAAATAGAAGAAAGGTTAAAAAACAAAACAAAAAAAAACAGCAGTGAGAGGTGAATGAAAAAAGCAGGTGTTACCAAAACATAAATGAAAGCATCACTGACCGAAAGGAGGGAGATAATAAGGAGTAGAATAAGAAAAAAATGATGCAGAAAGAGACAAAAACAGGGTTACCTGCTTCCATATGATGGTTTGCCATGCTCCGTTACGCAGAACTAGAAAACAAGGACACCATCATAAAAATAATCCTCATAAATATATATAAACCATGTAAAAAAAATAATATACAGGTATATAACACAACTAGAAATGTACTTTATAAGAGGCTATATTTGCCCTTGAATGGGCTTTTTTTATCCTCATGAGGGCATATTTTTTCTAAATAGGTATTCCATTGTGTGTTAAGTCAAATATTTGAAATAATTATGAACAATTATGGGTGCTAATTTAAAAAAAAAATAAAAAAATTTAAAGGCCAATAATTATTTTAATTTATTACAGCAGATATATAGACAAAAATAAAATTCTATTTCGCACAATTAATATATTTTTTAAATCATTTAAATGCTGATTTGGAAAATGAATCCAATGAAATGATTTGGCATCACAACATTATAATGTACATTATATACAATATTATATATTAAAAATTAAAAATGATTTTGTTACAAAGGTAAGCTCAATGTAAAAACATTTATTAATGGTGTTTTAAGAACTTTAATTACAAAACACTTCATATTAGATGCAAGTGAATATAGATATTTGACAAATATAGGTCACTACCATGACTGCAATGATTAGCACTAAACCCATAACTTGAGAGGCCAAATATAGCATTTCAAAACATAAAAAATTGTTCATTTTTAACCCAGTTACACAGATATGATTGTAACACTCAACCTGTTGTCTTCTTCTTGTTCACCGTATTGTCTGCTTTATGTCTTTTCTGTGAGAACACAACACGTGACATATCACCAGCATTGTTCATACAAAATTTCAACTGAATTTCCAAGACAATGCACTTATCCAGTGTTGTCAAAACAAGGTTTGGAAAGTTTAACGTCAATGCAGCGCTCCATTCAGCAGAATACTCACATAATCCTCGATGATCTCCTTGATCCCAGCCACTGTCAGAATAAAGATAAGGGGCACCAGCGTTGTGTAGCGACCCGTTGGGGAGACATCAGGGATTTGCTGCATTTGAAAATGTACACAGATAAACATAAAATGAAATACTTCACTCTGGTGGTACAACAACATGCTTTGGGAAAGTCCCATTTAAAATGAAAAAGATAAGGTAGCAAAAACAGAATCTTAATCTGTAAGATAGGAATATAGTGTACAAGTTGTATTATCTACTCTTATTGATAGTTATGGTCCTTTTATCTCCCACTGTTACGAGTAGATTATCAAAATATCTTCATTTGTGTATTCAAATATCACACAGGTTTGAATGACATGAGGGTGACTGAGCCATGGAAAACACTGTATTGAGTAAACAACATAACACAAAGAAAAAACCTTTTAGCTATTTAGCCTTTTTGCTCACTATTTTTAATGCAATTCTGGCCTATCTAGTTGGACCACGTGGCAGCGGTTATTGAGAGTGGATAGTGACTCATAGTGGATGAGAGTGAAATAGTGGACCACTTCCAAAAATGGATATAATACACAAATGGACATGTTGGCAAATCTAAAAGTCTATTGTCAGCATAAGCAGTACAGTATGGTTCCTCAGATGGATCTCCCTTTGGAAAGACAAGACATGAGCAACACATTTAATACTTTGAGGTCCTCAAAACACAGTTGTCTGAGAATCCCAAGAGTCATACCTGCATAAGAGCGATGAAGAGGAAGAAGGCATTAGCCGCTCGTCTGATCTGTTCGTACAAGAACCGTGGCAGGAAGGTAAGGATCCCGTATTTAGCCGTGCTAGAGGGAGAAAAAGGGAAAATTGATGTGTTTAAAAGCAATCAATCAGCTTTAAACTATTTTAAAACATCTATATATACAACCAGGGCCATAAGAGCACAAATTTAGGATTAGCTCTACTAAAAAGAAAAAAGCACTCGTAAGTGTTTTGAACCAAGCCAGGATCCATATGCTTTCACAAACACCTGACAGTTCATTGCTCACTGCATTAAATTTAGATAAACAATCCCAAAATAAGTGTTTGCGCTGTTAGGATGGATGTTTCTCGGCATGTCCGTCAATTATCTGTATTGATCAAACCCCTAAGTAGCTCTTGAATAGCTGATTGCGGCAGTAAATGTTTTACAGTCATTAAAATAGCTGTTAAAAATCCCTAAAAATAACCTCTGGGACTACAAATTTGTTTGTGTGGGTGTTTTATATCCGCATCTAGAGGCACTAAATCAAATCGTAAGCATGTTTCTAAAATACCGCATGGTCCTCTTTGTAAACATGACACCCTACTGGGCTCATAGGCAATGAGTTCACAGCCTAACACACCCAGTGTAACCCACACTAGGCATCAAACAGCAGCTCTGTAGCTGACCTGGAAGTACGACAAGCTATCGTTGACATCAAAGAGTGGCTGAAACCATTCATATGATCCCCTTCATTAACATTCAGCGGTCCAATCACACACACAGAAACCCAAACCGGCGCCGCCATAATGTGTAGTACCTGGGGTTACCCTAAAAGACTGATATGGATGATTGCTCTGCTGGATTTGTTGATCTGGTTACTTTGTGATTGACAGGTGACCAATTGATGCCAATGCAATGGGAAGCAGAAACCATTTGGTAAATAAAACATGAAGATTAAGGCATAAGATAATTCTTATTAAAATTTCCACTGCTCCCGTCAGAGAGGCATTATGCTGAGAAACCGATGAGCCGAAAAGGTCAGAGCTCCGTCTGAACTGAAATTAGCCAATGACAAAAGAGCTACAAATTTATAGGCCCGCCTTAATGTTGTTGCAGGAACCAAAGAGCCTTTTAGAGCAGAATCGAATCTTTAGAACATACTGGTGGATCGATGAAGTGTGTGTGGGTGAGTGAGTGTTTTCGGGACTGAAAGGTTGATTTTGAATGAGCTTCCATTTTATGGCACTAATATGAAAGTGATCTGGGATCAAATTCTTTCAGGCTTTTGTTACAAGTTTTTCAGAACACAATCATATACATAAAGATTCAAAAAGTGCCTTTTTGTCACATATCAAACTGATATAATAGCCATCCAACAGATAAAGAAACACTCAAGTCTTTAGAGGACTTGGGCACTTTGGAGACCAAAAGACTTTTGTTCAGGAACTGCAGACGAACTCTAGCCAAGCACAGCCCGGAACATGACCTTGGTGTACGCACAGGAAATCTCTGATGGAGTACTTCACTTAATGGAAGCTATTCAGATGTCGCGTGCAATGCATACTTGCATACATTTAGCATGGAATTTCCCTGAGGGAAACCTTCACTTGATTAAAGCAGTTTTTGCAATCAATTTCATAGCATTAGAGGTTAATACGATTATTTTTATCTTGGACCATTAAGTGTTGGAACAGCGGTTTTGGTGGTGAGGCATTAAATACAATGCGCTTAGTTAAATAATGAATTCAAGAATAACAGGAAAAAACAAAAGGTTCAGAGTGACTGCAAAATAAAGGAAAAAAGGGAGGAGTGACTGGCTGATCACACTGTCAATTGGGATATTGCCCCTCTTTGAAGAGCGCAAATCTTTCAGAATGAGTCAAACTGGTGAAAATGGACAGGCTAATTACAGGCTAAGTAACAACTTAAATCACTCTGATACCATTGCTTCAGGTCATGTCCAAATCAAAATGAACTTGAAATGACTTGAAAACACAGCTCTTTAAATGAGCTGCTTTTTAAAGGGAAAGAAATTAAAGGAGCATTTCTAGCCAACATCAACACACTACTGTTTATTGAGAATTGTATTGCTTCAATTTATTTGATAATAAAAGATATACAAAATCTTAGTTTATTATTTGAGTTATTTTTGAAGCAACGTAAAATATCGCATATTATTATTTTTTGTGTGTGTGTTACAGTCTATGGTAAAAACACAAAATTTATGAGAGTTTTAAGCAACTTGATAAAAATGTTCAGCAGTATACACCGTTCAAAAGTTTGGGGTCAGTACTATTTTTCTGTTGTTGAAAGAAATTAATACTTTTATTCAGCAATGACGCATGAAATTGATTAAAGTGACAGTAAAGACTACTTGATTTCGATTTTTTTTTTTTTATCATCAAGTTTTTATTCATCAAGGAATCTTGAAAAACAAATATGCATGGTTACGGTTTCCACAAACCTATTAAGCAACACATCCTTTTTCAACATTGATAATTCTAAGTAATGTTTATTAAGCAACAAATCAGCATATTAGAGTTATTTCTGAGGATCGTCGGACACTGAAGACTGGAGTAATGATGCAGAAAATTCAGCTTTACCATCACAGGAATAAATTACATTTTAAAACATAATCAAATAGAAAATAGTTATTTATAAATTGTAGCCTAATAATACCTCACAATATTGCTGTTTTACTGTATTATTTATTTATTTTTTCAAATAAAGGGAGCCTTGGTGAGCATAAGACTTTCAAAAACATTACTGACCCCAAACTTTTTAACATTAGTGCAAATATTGTAGTATTGTTTTCTTGTTGATAGTGCAATGCTGATCCTTTGCATCATTTATATTAGACTAACAACAAAGAGGGGAGTCTTTCCATCTCTTTTAAAAAGACCTGCAACTGCAACAAAAACTGCAAATTTACAGTCACAAAAACACCACAATAACATACACTTGATCCCGTTCACTTTAAACAAAGAATACACTAAGATCACAATAAAACAAGGCAGAATAAATTCAAAATGCAATGTAACATTTTCCTATTCGGTACAATAAAGACTTAAATGAACTCACCTGACATGGTTGTCACAAAATTTGGTGGTTTGGGCTCGGTTGAGCAGCACGATTCGCGCTGTGGCATCTATCGGGTCCGCCTGTGATGTGGTTCCGGACATCTCATCCTCTGCCTTGCGGTAGCCGGCGGCCGAGCACGCGGGTCCTGTACCGTTCGAGTGATGGGAGAGAGGCGAGGCTAGCGTGAGTGTGCGTGGAAGAAGACAAGAACATACATAGAAAATGTAGTTTACAGTTCAGTGCGCTGGCCACTAAACACTACTACTGTGTGCTGCTGATGCAAGCCGCCCCTGGTGTCAATGACGTTTCCCTCTGTGCAACGCCCTCCCCGTCTTTCATTCCCCCCATCCTCCTCCTCATCATCATCATCGTCGTCGTCCTCATCATCATCCACGAGCAAAAGCTCCGTCACCAATACAGCAACAAACGCGACGCCCACGGGACCCCCTGTATAGAATGTGCTGATGGGAGCACAATGGCGCAGCAAACACCTTTGTAGGAAACCTTGTGCATTTGTTTATCTTTATAAAAGCCTCTTTATTCCGTGGAAACACCTGTTTATTCACGATGCGCTGAAACGAAAAGCAATGAGACAATGTCTGTGTCTCGAAACCAAGCAAGCTGCCTACCAAGAAAGCATTTTAGTCACCATACGCCCCTGATTCGAACATTTATAATATTATGTCGGAGAGTCATAACGCGTCGCGTAGGCATACATCTTTCCCATTATAAAGCGTTGCGAAGCCGAATTTTTTTTTTCTTTTTTTTTTCTTCTTGACGCTCTGCAGAACTTAATTTTCGCCGTCCGAATGAAATAAAATGATTTTACAAGTAAAATATTATCAAACTTACGTTACATCACAGTCATACTATTTTAATGTAATAATTATATTTATAATAATTAAGAGATAAACATGTGTATATTAAATAATATTTAATTTTAAAATGAATGAAATGAACTAAAAATAAAATGAAAATAATATAAATGAATCGATAAAAATATTACTTATTCAGGAGTAGCCTCGAGCTTACAACTGATTGGTCAGTGAGGTAAACGTTAAGCGATGACGTACAGTTTCGATGCGTCCACCGTAGAAGCGATTGCAGCGCGTCGCGTGGTGGTCACTCGTAGCTGAACGCAGCGATTCCCTCTCAAATGTTGCAGCATCACAGACCAATGCCAAATGAGTTTTTCCCGCACATAATAAATAATGTACGCTTGGTAAATAACAGCTCTGTCTAGATGTGACAGGAGAGTTTACCCAGCTGCTGCATGATCGAAAGCGGGCGTGGAGAGATGGACTACACGCGTCACTTCTCCCATTCCAGTCAGCCTCTCTAAAAGACAAGCCCCGAACCCTCTCCCACCGTGTCATTTGGGTCAATCTGTGGACGTTTTTATAAGGCTCCACTCCGTTGTGTCTTTGCAGTGACAGAAGATGGTTTCCCTCCAGACAGCGCGCTTTCTCTGTCCGCTTCTAACTAACGTTACAGCTCTACCCGCAGTCAGACAACACAAAAACCTTACATTTAAAGGCGCAGGCACTGCACTGCTCGGGAGTCACACCGGTGTCCACAATATGATTCGAAAGGGACTAAACGTGGTTACTTTTACTTCCTGTTCATTTGCTCCTCCTTGTTATGATGGTAATTTTACCTAAAGGCACAAATATCCTATGTTGTGTCTCGTGTTTGAAGGTCAAACTGTCATAGCAGTAATAGGAAAATATAAAAGGTTAGCAGCTTACAAGATTAAAACAAATGTGGATAGGTCAAACAAATAAAGGTTAAAGAATAGGTCATTAAAACCATATAGACCACTGATCTGAATATTATGTGATTTATTAACATGCACAAAATGGATTATTAACATGCAGGCCACATTTTATTGTTAACCAAAATATTTCGCCGTAAACCATAAAGTCTCAAAAGGATTGACTTACAGATATTGATTTCAATGAAATAATTATATTAGCCTATTTTAAAAAAATCCTCAAAATAAAAAATATATATTTAAAAAAAATTATTATTATTAAAAAAAAAAAGATTAATCGATTTGACAGCAGTGTAAGGGGCAAACTGCAGATATTTTTATAAGGCTCCACTCTGTGTCTTTGCAGTGATGACTGAAAATGGTTTCACTTCAGAAAAAAAACTATATGTGTTTTTACCTTTTATGTATTTTTTGCTAATTTGCTTGCAAGTAAACATTATATAATTGTTGCTTGAGAATCTTACAATTGACTTTTTCCCCCATCTAGACAAAACCATGCTGTCTCTTGAACCATATCTAACCCTTTATCTGCTAGTCAATCGTGCAAAACCATAAACCAGCTAAAACATACCCTCATGATCATGCTGGGCTGTATCTCCATCAGATCTTAGATCTGCAGTTCTCTTGCTTGGTATAATCTTTAGTTATGAGGTGCAGGGTGTAACTATAGCAAGCACCCATCTCTTTGGTGTCAAGGCCAGTTGACCACTGATAATCTTGTCACTAACTGAGAATTGTGAGAACTTGTACTTATGTGCGGTGTTGTGTATTTTAGTGCAGAAGACACAGGCCCTTAAAAGTGTTTTTACGGAGTCATAGATTATGTCTATTGTCTCTTTCAAGGTGACTTCAGACTTAATTGCAACAAGAACTATACACAGATAAAAATGATTTTGTGGTGAAGTAAATACTTCAAAAAAAACAATGTAATTTTCATGAAAAAGTTAGTTCAGGCAAGAATTAAAAAACTAAGTAAATTCGATATTAGTACTCAATTCAAGTTTGTAGAAAATTAAATTGTAATAAAATGAGTTCAGTTATTAAAATGAACCGCATAGATCCAATAATATGCAGTATTATTAACATGACACTGGGCCAAATAATGTATTATTATTTGTCATTATAGATTTGCACTAAAATACAATAAAGTTTGATGCATTTTTAAGGTTCAAAATAAATAAGTCTTTTATTAATTTGTATTTTTTAATTAATAAGCATATTAATTTTGCTATCCTAGCACAATTATACACTCTAAAGGCCCATCCACAAAAAAAACTGTTAGTGTCCACACCAATATTATAACATTCTGTTTATTATAAGGGCATGCTGCAGTTACATTGTCTGCCACTTTAAATGCTCAAGGTCTTTAAAGTCTGGTGGATTCGATTTTAAGAACTATATCATTATTGTTAGTTATTAAATCTTTACAAAGAAAAGGTTTATACAGAACCTTAAAAGGGTTCTGTCAGAGACGCTTTATTTGTACCTTTAGGGGTTCATTTTCATTTAAGATCATTTTATGGATTTTGTTTTAATTCATTCATTTTGTTGTGATTCTGTATTTATTATGATTCGATTTTAAGAATTAAACAGCTCGTAAACACTTTATCACAAGAATAAAATGAAAGTATTATGCAGTCATTTAAAACATTTCTCCTTATAGGACATTTTTGGCTTTTAAAATTGGTTCTTTAAAATTGAGTCAAGAACCATAGAAGCTTTTTTTTCGAAGAGTGTCATTTTATTATTTGCATTTATTTCCACCAGTGGAGAACCAAACATTTCCAGATAAAGATATCAAAGCAACCCTGACAACAGGCGTTCATGAGTTTCTAGGACATACTCTGAACTATACGGCCCAAAAAAATCAGGATTAACACACTTTCATCGTGCATCATCACATCTCCCGCTCACACTTTCAATCTCTTCCTCATACTTATTCTTCCAATCCCCAACTCAGCCATTCAATCTTGATCGATACAAGGCCCATGAGATGTGGCTTAAAAGTTTATTCAGTGACAGATGAAAGCTTCAGTTACTCACTAATGGCCAGACCGGCAGACACTTTGTACCTGATAAACATCACAGAACCGGAATCAGCAACATACTGGTAAACTATGTCCATAGACTGGACACATAGCAGTTTCATGAAGGCAACACAGACCCTGGTTAAGATTATCAACAAGTACTCAATTCACAAGTTTCCCAACATGTGCTGATAAAACTGGGAAGCTAAGAGCTGCACTGACCTTTGCCCTCAGATAAAGACCAAGAAAGAAACAATATTGTTTCGTTTTTGTGCGCCTAAATCACACCCAAACACTGTCACAATTTATATATATATATATATATATCACCAAGTTTGACCCTAGGCCCAGCGTGGGGTGAGTGAGGAGATCTGGCCATCCGCCAGGTTTTCACAACTAAAAAGCAGCATGCTTTTAAATTATGAATAGCCCTGGGTTGCATTATTCATCCCTATGCCTTTGTAACCGTGCTCACTTTACCCACCGCATTCTCTTATACCTGCATGCATTCATTCAGCGGGCCTCTCTTATTCCATGCAATATCACTGCACATCTCTCAGTCTGTATTATACTACTCTGATTAGTCAGACTTTGGTCGTGCTGTTCAAATGGGTGTCAAATTCCTCTATTGTCTAGAATTTACGGCTGCGTTAACACAATGGCACTGGAATGGGTTCAAGAGGACAGTGAACCAGCAAATCTTTATAGTGGTACAGAGGTCATACAGACAACCAAACGAAAGAAAATATGACATGCTCAACGAGGCTCTTCATTTGCAAACTGCATAGAGTCTCCTATTAGGGATGGGCGAGTTATTTGTTCAATCCTATGGCAAGTATTTAAATTCTGACATTTAATACGTAAAGTTTTTGTGATTTCAGAGGGTAAAAGTAAAAATGAATAAATATGATTTTGACTCAATATTAACAAAGGTTGTCGTTTCTAAACAAAATTGTCTCTTTCACACTAAACGTGAATAGCAAGCATTGCTGTCTCTGTTTGTCCTCGGTCATTATCAAATTGTGGTGAATAATCTGTTCCTTTTGACTTTTCAATTATGACAAAGATTTAATTAATAGACTTTATATATATTTATATAAAAGGCACAACGTTATGTTTATTAAATACTATGTAATATTGACTTTTTATTTTAAGTGTCTGTAAGTAAGGATCATTTTGTCGTTTTGATAATTTTGAGTTTAAAATACATAATTAATAATATAAAAAATGCTTGTTCCTTGATTTTTGTTCTGTTGTCATTGTTCTCAAACTTAAAAAGTTGTAAAACTCCAAGGCCAAAGTTCACAGTAAGAAACGGCTGCTCAAATCAAATTAAAATGTTTGTGTGAAAGATTTTCAAATAATAATAATACTACATTTATTATAGTCTGATTAGAAGTATATTGACTAATTTACTTCATGTGTGAAATAAAATTATTAAAATTCAGGTTGCCCTCATTAATATCAATAATGTCAATGTTAATAAATACTTACCATCAACTTTTATGGGAGAAAAATAAACTGAACTAAATTCAAAACCAGTATTTTTGGAAAAAATCAACAAAAGATGAACATTTTTGGAGAATGACCCTGCTGGGATGACTTGTGCTTTTCAGCGTTCTGCTCATGTGGAGATGAGCTGCAACACTATCTCCTATAAGTTCTTTTTCCCTTTAAACCTAATGATGCATATTAAATGTCATGCTAATTAAATAATTCAAGCATTCTAATAAACCACTGAGGATCGATTTTATGTGGATCTACCCTAAATGTGGCATCGGTGTCAGAAGTATCAATATTTCAGGACCGATCCGCCCATCCCTTGTTCCCACATGCTCACGTGTGGCCGCTCCACCAGAAGTCCAGAAACTCTTTACCTACAGAGCCCCTCCTAGACCTGTTGCGCCCTCGGCGTGGCATGTTGGTCCTGTAGCCAAGGTGACCCACAGGTTCTGGTGGCCCCCAAGAGGAACGGGGGATGTGCTCGTATAGCCTGGGTCGCTATGCCGATGGAAAAGGGTGAATGAGGAATGAAAGCCTCTTACAGGCACAGTGTCCAGGGAAGGTAATCCTCTTTCTGTCAGCTCTGCAACTTCACCTGTATCTAATCCTGACCGGGGTTTATCCCGGAGCGCAGGTGAGATTGTTCACTTACACCACCAGGCACGTCAGCCACCCGCAACCTCATGCACAAGCCATGCAAGCGTCACAGTCTGACCCCTGGCTTACTAACTCATCAACACCAAAAGGACTGTTGTTTCTGTAATGCGGTGCATGCATTTTGGTGCATCCCTTGACGCATACCATGTCTGAGTGGGGTCATTCTTACAATATGGTGGATTTTATGTCCCCATGAATCAATACATAAATGTTAATCAACTTTTCATGCCACATGGTTGTCCATGCATTGAATGATTAGTACCTAAGAATAATTATAAATAAAAAAACTCCACTTCAATTTGAAATAAAGGTTACATGTGTATTTTTTAATTGCAATTTTGAGTGTACAAATTCTTTAAAAAAAAAATGTAGTGATACATTTATTTTAAAGGTGTAAAACCATTATAGTGCTACTTGAACAGTATTTGACAAAATAATGTCAGAATTCACAGTACTCATAAAAGAGTATAGGCAAAAAGTACCTGGATAACCTACTTCTTACTGTACAATGGAGAATTTACTATCCCATGAGGCCACAGGAGAGGATTTGGATGGCAGCCACCATTAAAAAAAATATCACGGCTAGGGAAAAGTTTTGTACTCTCTCTCAGCTGTAAGACTGTGGAATTCACAGAATGCCTAATTTATTTATTTTATTGCATTACTTTTTTTTGCAATATGTAGTTATGTGTACAAAATTCTGTGTTATGTGTGTTGCTCCTGGTCCAGAAGACAAATTTCTTCTATCGAGGACAATAAAGAATGAATCTGATTCTCTACCTGAGAAAATGTGGGGTTTTTTTTCTTTTTCTTTTTTTTTTGTTTTTTTGTCATGATTTGAACATTTAGAAACCAAATTTAAGAGATGGTTATTGTCAAATGTCATTGGTGATTTCAAACATGAAATTTAATCATAAGCTTGGTCAATAGCTTTGGAGAATTTGATGTTTCCCCATTCAAAGAGACAGGAGCTGTACTTGCATTAATAAGATAGCTGCCCGAGAAGCGTTCAAGCGTTTTCATAGACTTGCCTTAAATTAACTTTAAACGCACTTTAAAATAGTGGCGGTGCTTAGGGAAGTCATAATAATGTCTCTACCTCATTTTTAGAATACTTATCTAAATTCATAAAACATAACATGTCCACTACCCTGTTGTGTCAATTTATACTGGACATAAAAATGTTTATTTTTCATTTTATTTTTACCGTTTTCAAATCCATTCAGCCGATTTTCTGATATTTATAAGAATATCAGTGACCAGACAGTTTCTGGTCTCATTGACTTCCATACACTCTAAAAAACATTGGGTTAAAAATGTAATTTAAAAATGTAACCCAATGGCTGGGTTTGTCCATATTTTACCCAAAATTGGGTTAAAACAACCCAGCATTTTTTAGAGTGTAGTATATTTTTTTCCCTACTATGGAAATCAATGAGACCAGAAACTGTCTTGTTACTGATATTCTTCTAAATATCAGAAAATCGTCTGAATGGATTCGAAAACGGCAAAAATCAACTATTTAACTCTGGGGGAGTTGTAAAATGAGCCTATTTCCAAAAAAAGTGGAGTATCCCTTTAAATGTTCACAAATTTCCTAGATCACATATGAAATATTTGGTAAGAATTATCCGGTTATAACCTGGGCTTGACCAGTGTGTTTTTCTTACAGACAGATGTTTTCTTCTCTCTGATCAAACTAATAATACTAAAAATTGAATTATTAAAAAGTTTTCAACAAAGCTGCTCAATCCAAAATTCACCAAACTGTAGAAATGACCCTGTGCATGAAAGAGTGCAGAGAACGTTGGCTTTATAAGTCTATCCATGCAGTGTGGGCTGAAGGAAGGGGTGGATGCACCTGTGAGGCTCCAAGCAGTAGCGGGAGGCAGCGGCCCGCTTGGCCAGGGCACTCACTTTTCTCAAACCTGTCTGCCAGATGGGAGCACATGTTGGATCCCACGGGCTGGTCCTGCCGGAGGGGGGAGTCCTGGCTAAGAGGGGTCAACACTAACTGTTCTGGAGGAGCCCAACAAGAGTTGCCATAAGAAAGAAACAACACAAGATAATAAGTCAGTAAGACCATAGAGCAAAACACTCTTAAAAATAAGCTTTTGGGAATCAGAAATGGTGTTTGATACAAGCATTACTATGCAAAACAAAGGTTTTCTTAATACTAGAAATATTTTTATAGCGTAAAGGGCCTCTTGGCATGTCAAAAAATATTGTTGGTTATATACAAAAAGGCTGTTGGATAAAATATATTATCTTTACCATGCTGGCTTCCATTTGCCTCCTTTAAGATATATATTAATACCAATGATATTCCTCATTAGACAACACAAAACAAGTACATTTTCTCACTCTTTCATTGTGTTTGGTTCTCATTTTAGGAATTGTAGTTTACATCCTGTTTCTTTTGTCCTTCCCGCCATCATTGGTTTCCATGGTTATTCATTAATTAGCTTGCCTGTTTGTATTCAGATTATTATTGTGTGTATTTATACAGTACTTTTTCACGTGTTCTCTCAACATATGTTCATTGGCCTGGTGTTGACTGAGTTCAATACTCACTGATACGTTGCTTTAACGTGCTGGGATGTTTGATTTTTGTTTATTTTGATGAAAGTACTAACTTATTTGTACTTTCATCATTTCCTCATCTTCCTCTTTGGACTCTACACATTATATGTGTGTAAGGGCACAGCTTCATATGTGCGGACTTCCCTTTTCCGTTCAAAATAGAATTTAACAATAAGATTCATAAGTAAATGTACATTTTTATAGTACGAATTCTAATTCTGACTTGTGATGCAGCCTGAATCATAATGACACCATCCTCCTTTGAGAAGAACTGCCACCCCATTTTTTCTCCATTCTGTCACCTGATGGAGTTTGGGGTCCTTGCCACTGTCGCCTCTGGCTTGTTTAGCTGGGGACAAATAATATTCAACAATATTATTGATCTGACCATACTGACGCTGTTGTGTGAAAACTAATTGAATAATTGATGGTCTTTACGACGGAACTGAAATGACACTTAACTTGACAGATGAAATGCATTATCACCGTAAAGTTGCTTTGAAACAATCTATATAAATCACTATATAAATAAAGGTGAATTGACTAGTGTTCTTAGTTAAAGGAGTAGTTCACTTTTTTTTAAAAAAAACAAAAAAACTTTTACTGATAATTTACTCACCCCCATGTCATCCAAGATGTCCATGTCTTTCTTTCTTCAGTCGAAAAGAAATTAAGGTTTTTAAAGAAAACATTCCAGGATTTTTCTCCATATAATGGACTTCAATGGGAACCAAACGGTTCAAGGTCCAAAAGACAGTTTCAGTGCAAACTGCAAACTGTTCAAAGGGCTTTAAACAATTCCAGACGATGAACAGGGGTCTTATCAAGCGAAACGATCACTCATTTAAGATAAAAAAAATAAAGTTTAAGTTTTATAAGCTCAAATGCTCGCCTTGCTCTGTTCTGTGATACGCGTTCGTGACTCACCTGTTCGATGATGTTCAAAATGGACGAATCTTTTCCCGAGTCAATTCGTTCATTTCGTTCATTGAATTAACCAAATGACACGAAAAAAGATTCGTTCATTTTGATAAACGATTTCGAACAGGATGTTTTCATCAAAAACCTTAATTTCTTTTCGACTGAAGAAAGAATGACATGGACATCTTGGATGACATGGGGGTGAGTAAATTACCAGCAAAAAAACTACTCCTTTAATACCTCTTATTGGCCTACAGACTGTTAAATGGCGGTAATTAAACGGTAATTGTTCCTAACTGGGCTTAATAACAAATGGATTATTGCTTGTTTGCACTACCTATTAAGGGCCAAAACATTATGAGGACACATCAACTCCAGGACATCACCCCGTTTAATCTTTTGCCTTACAGGCAGACGGTACAGGTCCTTAAGAGCAAGAACCAAACGCTTACAGGATAGTTTCTTTCCAGTTGCCCATCCGGACTCTAAATTCATAAATGCACTAAATGTCAATGTGAAATATCATTATGTGAATTCTGTATATACTTGTAAAATTGTGTCTTATTGTTGGTGGTTATATGTTTTTCTTGTAAACGCGAGTCAGGAGTAATGTTCCTAATTTCATTGTATGCAAATACAATGACAATAAAGGCTTCGATTCAATTGAATAATTAATTGCAACAAATATGCCAAAATAAACTTACATTTACAATTTTTTTTTTAATTGTATGGAATGGATTATATTTTTATTTACTTGCATCATGAAGCTGTGTGTTTATTTCATATAAAGTTTTATAATTTGATGTAAATGGTGTAAATAAAAACGCTGCCATCTGCATTCAGTCAGTTTAATATGATATATTATATAAATATGTATTTAAAATATATCAAACAAAGGATCTAACTTTTTACAAAATTTATTTCCGCTCTATAATTTAGTCTCCTATAGCTCTGGAATGGAGCATGACACGTTTACAGATGCTGCCCTCATGTGGCCTTTAAACTGATGCACAGAAACACTGCAGTCACTAAAACAGGAACCTTAGACAAACCATATTGTTTGTGCCATTAAAAACTTTTTGGACATTTGATTATTGTTTGTAAAATGACCAAAAAGACTTCAGATGCCCCAACACCTGTAAAGAGACAGCGCCAACTCCTTCAAGGACTTCAGAAGACGCTCTGAATCAACATGCACCAATGCTACAATTTTCTATATGTCATAATCATGTTAACAAACAAGTGTTCATTACTTCAATGAGCTCATTATTTAAATTAGTGCATTTTTAGCTGTAATTTGTATATCTGAAATACAAATACATCTGATAAGATATTGCACTGTGGATTGTGTAAAGCTGCTTTGAAACCATGTGCATTGTGAAAAGCGCTATACAATATAAACGTGAATTGAAATGTGCACACTATGCACTTGACTTGACATGCGTGTTTTTTTTTTTGCTGATATAGTTTTCAATTGTCTCATTTGCCAACTGAGCATATGGAGAGCAAAGTCGACAGAAAACAGCTGTCCGTCATCTGTTGAGATGAGCAGAACTAAGTGGATTACTGAGACCTTTCTACTTACAATTACAGCAAACGGCTCTCTTGTATGAAAGGCTATTGGCTTCTGAAAGATAATTCTTCAAGGAATATAATAAATGAGACAGATTAAAGATTTCCAGAAAAACCCCAAATGCAACTTTAAACTCAAACTGATAGGACAACCCAGTGTCACACATACGCTTTACAGAATTGAAAATTAGGTTACCAACAGTAAGTCCCCGGCCTCGCATGTTAATTCTGGAACGTGCTGGGTAAGAGCAGGGCAGGCCAAACAAACGCTCTGAACAAACGTTCAGTGTATTCCACAATGCATATGTGTCAGTCAGTCAAAAAAGACGGCGTCATCACATCACAAAGCTCTGCCAAATAAACACATGCTGGTAAAAAATCTGCTGCCAGAACACTCTGCAATCTCTCAAGTCTGCCATCAACATTCAAATCTCAAAAGCACTGTACTTGCGATGTAGGCTCTTGGCCACTGTTCGGTGCATTTAGTACTTTGGTGCAGTGAATTGATGTCTGGAGAATGATATATACAAGCTTTTACTTAGATTTGTAATAATACTAATTGTCTCAACGGCTCATTTTCATTCAGAACAGACTGCAATGTTGCAGTAGTCTTTTGATTTTATTCTTCCACTGCACGTATTTAGAAAGCAATGCTTTCTTGCATAACATTTTCTTGCTAATTTTTACTAATAACAATGGAATATTTTTATTTCAACTCTATATTGCAAGCATTTTTAAGGACCTCATTGCTAAAATCAAAAACATTATTTTACAACTAACAATCAGGATGTTTTTTTGTAATCATTGCATGGAAAAAAGATTACATTATTATATTATAACTTCTTTGTAATTGTGCATTTTTTTATACTATTCAAGACTTTTATTGATATTAACAATATCAATTCAAAGGGATCTAGTGATTTAGTTGATTGATTTTTTTTTTTTTCATTTTTAGTGGTTGATTTATTTTACAGTCCATAATTAAAAGAAATGTAAAAAAAATGCTTTTATTTATTTGAAGATTTGTAATGAAATTGAGTGACTAAAAATTGCTAGTGTCTAAAGATAAACCTTCCAAAACTGTACATGCTATATGTCAATATCTAATATAAATGAATTTTTCCTTATTGTAAAGTAATTAATAAAAAGTTAGACCTACTTTACTCGGGCACACATGACCTCAACAGGTCAGGTAGATCAGTCTATGAGCTTACAAAGTTACATCAGTCACGTGATGAGCTGAATAACCACTAATACGGGAGTTTCTCTCTCAAAGGTCTATGCAGATCTGGATAAGATTAATTGTAACCGCATCACAGTTTATCTCATTAGAACAGTTGACCCTAGTCATCACCTCCGCCAACTGGTAGGAAACAGGACATCGCCCTGGTAACCCATCTGTTTACACAGCGAAAATGACAGGTCACCAGCAAGAGAGCGTCACCAACCGGGACAGGTGGAGGATAACTGATGCTGGACGATCACAACATGACCTTCCTTTTCTAATATATAATTAATAGTGTATATAAAAGTGTAAAATATCGAATAATTTACACACAAAGTAACATCTGAATATCCAATGGTAGGCTACAACAACATAGCACGGAAGAAAACACACGCGTAAACAACAGTTCCAATATACGTCGCCCATGTCAGCAGATTATGCTTACCTCCCTCGCTGTGGATCTTCTTCGACCGTCTGTTGAAATACATTCTGCACGCATGTGTGGAGCTTCCAGCAGCGGGAGCGAGATGATGGCATACGCATACTCACGCCGCGGGACAGAGGCGCATGGATGCGGTGTTTGATGGAAGTAACATAGTTCCTGAATGATGATGGGTCACCCTCAGCCGCGTGCACTGTGTCGGGCACGCGCTCCTGCCATCCTGCTGATCCGTCGCAAATGCACAGGCGAATCCGGGCCCGCTCCGTCATCAGATCCCGCCTGGACACTTAAGCTGTCCAGTGGGGACCCTTATATGTTCTGGTGTTCAACAGACTCATTCAACTATAATATATGTAAATTATCTTTATATTAATATTTAACTTGAGTATTTTATTTGGTTTACTTTAGCTATTTTTACCTATGGCACTGGATTGCTTAAGGAGTAGTTCACTTAAAAAAAACTTTTGTTGATAATTTACTCACCCTCATGTCATCCAAGATGTCCACATCTTCTTCAGTTGAAAAGAAATTATTTTTTGATGAAAACATTCCAGGATTTTCTAAATATAATGGACTCCAATGAGAGTTTCAGTGCAGGTTCAAACGACACCAGACAATGAATAAGGGACAGAGCAAGGGAGGCGAGCATTTGTGCTTATAAAACTTAAACTTTTTTATTTATTTTTGAAATGACTGATCGTTTCACTAGATAAGATCCTTATTCATCGTCTGGTGCCGTTTAAAGCACTTTGAAGCTGCACTGAAACTCTCATTTGGACCTTGAACCGTTTGGTTCCCAATGAAGTCCATTATATGGAGAAAATCCTGGAATGTTTTCATCACAAACCTTAATTTCTTTTCGACTGAAGAAAGACAGACATCTTGGATGACATGGGGGTGAGTAAATTATCAGCAAAAGTTTTTTTTTTTTTAAAGTGAACTACTCCTTTAAATATGGCATTGGCTAATGGATTAATATTTAATTATGTATGTTTTAATATATATATGTAGTGTAAATCTATTTATTTACACTACCATTCAAAAGTCTCATGCTCACCAAGGCTGATTTTATTTGATGAAAAAAGTAAAAACAAAACTGTTGTAGTTTTCAATTTTAATATAATTCAAAATTTAATTTATTCCTGTGATAGCAAAGCTGATTTTCAACATTTTATTTTAACATTACAATTTAATATTAGTAATTGAATGAGACTGTTGCAGACCAGGTGCTGATTATATATATATATATATTTTTTTTTGATGAGTAGAATGTTCAAAATAACAGCATTAATTTGAAATTTCTTTTGTAACATTATGAAAGTCTTTGCTGTCACTTTTAAACAAACAAAAAAAAATCATCTTTGCTGAAAAAACCCCCCCAAACGTTTGAGTGGAACTCAAATTACATTATACATTGTTAGGGAGCAGAGAAGAAAAAAATCAATGTGTTTTATTTTATTACATAGTAACAGAATACATATTCTTCTGTTTCAGCATCACATTATAACATAATACATAGTCATAGCGCAATGATGTCCATTTTTCATCATTAAATATCTAAACTTCATGGCCAAAGATCCCCCACTCGCAGCTCCACATCAGCTCAAAAACCATTCTGTTCCATTCAGCAATATACACACACATTTTCTACACACATACTTATAATTCACTCTTCTTATAACACACATCCTCACAACATACAGACAAAATAAAGGGATATTTTAGTATACAAGAAAACAATAACATCGAGGACAGGTGTCGAATAACAGATTCTGTCATTGTTTTAATCGAGATCCTGAAACATAAGCAGACATCTATTGTACATTGAGGAAAAGTGGACCTTGGAAAGACGCAAGATACCACTACATTCATGATCTTTCATTCAGAAGTCCTACTTCACGCTCTGCCTCACATAGGGGAACGAGTAACTCTGCATGAAGGGTAAAAATGGTGACTCAGAGCAAACAGGGCTTTCAGACAAGGCCATAAGTGAAACCATTGTATGCTTAAATACTGAGGGAAGGTAAACAGGGCACAACGTGTCTGCAATAAGGAGCATGTGATGATAAGAACTATAGAAATACCGGTAGCCAAATGTGAGTGTGAAAGTAGGAATCCAACAAAAACACAGGTATGTTATAATATAATATTGTACCACCATTCAATATCTTTCATTGCCTCCTTGTACCTTTGAATCACCCTGGAAGAAGTCTGGCCTATGACAGGCTCGAATGTACTGCCATACAGTGCAGCGGCTGACAAGTGCTTTCAAGTGATAATCAATTTAAATATTGTGAACTATGTGCAGGGGGTTGACAGGGTTTAGACTCAGGTACAAATCAAGCATGCACTTACTAGCTCATACAATATCATATAATCTGATCGGCTCTCCAAAACTGTTGTTCAAATGCAAATGGCTTGTTCTCATTAGAAATGTAATGACACTCAAAGCATATTCAGTCCATTGGGAAAATTAAAAACGCTTAAAAAAAAAATGTGTTCTGTAGTGTTTGCGGAGATGCTCATTGCCATTTCCCGTAATATAAAGATGCAGATGCAGCTATTGGAATTTCAGTGACAAATTCATCTATGCATCATTCACATCCCATAACTATTCTTCTCGACCCCATCAACAACAAAAAATTAGAATAAAAAATAAAATCACACTAAAAACCTGCTTTGATTGAAAACGCATTTAAAAGTACACTGCCCAACATTAGGGAGCATTTACATGGAGGACTCATAGAGCTTCAAAACCGGTGGATTTCTCAGCAAGCGCTTAAAAAGTAAAGGTTCCTTTTGAAAATGCTAATGAAACAGTATATGGTTCTTTCTACAATATGTCTTACTGTTTAAACCGAAAACACAGACATTCATATATTTACACGTCCTTAAAGAGTTTTAAAAGGTTTATCCATTTTTTGAAGCCGCCAAACTTAAAAATTGTGAGACAGAATTATAGTGCAGTCACATGTAGCGAAATTTCATGGGCAAAAAAAATGTCCATTGTAAATAGTGTAGAGATGTATGGAGCACCACTCACACAGAAGTCACTTTCAAACCAAGCAGCTTTCTGTTGTTCAACATAGTAAATCGATTGAGACATCCGATAAGCAATCTTTTAGTTTCACCCTCACGAAATTGGATTTCGCCCATGAAAATTAGCTGAACATTGGTAAACGTGAATGCACCAGTAGCTTAAGCTAATATTCCTTACTCCGTTTGAGTTAGTCACGCCGTCTGTTAATATGTCCACAAAGCAAATGGAGAATGGTAGGAGGAGGAAGAAATTAAAACAAAATGAGTCTAAAAAAATAAAGCTTTGTTAAATCTCTGCATTATAGTCTTTTTTCTGCTTTTGGTTCTACCTTTAGCTTGAATAAAATGGATCTCAGAGAATGAAAACATTGAAGCACTATGTACAGGTTCCACCGAGGGTGGAAGAAAAGTCACTCGTTCAGTCCATTGATTGATAGCTACAACCTAACATCATTCCTGATGGCTGGACAGAATAGGCTGCCTGCAGATGGGACAGGTGTTGTTTTCAGATAGCCAGCGGTCGATGCAGTGGATGTGGAACTCGTGGGCACAGGGCAAGCGACGCAGCTTGTTGCCCTGAGCGTACTCGTTGATGCAGACGCTGCAGGCGCGACCCTGCTCGCCCTCCATGTTGACCTGACCGTAAGTGCGTGTGACCAAATTGTCGATCTGTTCTTTGGTGAGACCCCGTGGGTGCTCCTCGTCTTCGTCTTCATTGAGAAGGAAAAAGTGCGCCAGCCTTAGGATGGGCAATGTGCCGTTTTCCACCAGGTTGTTAGTGTCCCTGCTGCTAGGTCGTCCCTCCGGCCCAGTCCTGCTTACCCGCACTTGTCCTTCCTCCTCACCCTCCACTAAACCTTCTTGTGCCAATTCCACTCCGCCGTGAGCCGCACCGCCCTCTGCGCTACCGACGCGGTATGCCTGGGCTCCGGCAACAGGAGCCGAGTCCTGGTTGGGTGCTGCAGTTTCTGAGTCCGCCTCCGTCTCCATGAGGGAGCTAAGCTCACCGAAGCCGGTCATGATCTGACGCAGGATAGATCGCAGAGCCATGGAGCTGGGCTCGCCGAGGCCCGTTTCCGAGATGCGGCGTAGCGGGATGCGTATAGTGCTGACATAAGTGCGGATTCCCGCGCGCTCCGAGCGCGAGATGGTACGACGGAAGCCGCCGCTGTCGCTCTCGAAGGTGACCGTGTTCTCAGCGGCACGAGCACGAGAGCGAGTGCGGCTGGCGATGCTGTCTCTGTCCCGGTTCTCACCTGGCCTGATGCGCCGAACCTGGAGGTCCAGCATGATTGTGGGGTGGCGACGCACACCTCCGGCGCCTGACACAGGAGTCTCCCCCTCTTCCTCACCTGCCTCCGGAGGATCTGTAGGAGCAGCCGGCTCTGTGGCGGCCTCGCCCATCTCCATAGCAACAGCCGTACTTCCAGTGGACTCCACTGGGGCAGCGGTGCTGCTATGGGTTGGGCTAACACTGGAGGCTGGGTTTCTGTCCAGGGGGGACCGGCTACGTCTCGAAGAGCGAGACGAAGCCCCACCTGCTCCCGTCGCCCGACGCATGCGGCCACGTGAGCGAGTCCTGCTGTTTCGTGTCTCACGGGCAGCTGGCGCCACCTGGGGGCCGGTCTGAGGCAGAACGGTGGGGCAGTCCGGGTCTTCATTTCCATTCTGCCCCTCCTCTGTGTTAACCGAGGAGGTCGTGACCTGTATTTGACCCCTTACGGCACTGCCATCCTGCTCTTGTGACTGAAAAGCGAGTGGGGCCTGTGGAGGAGGAGAGCTTGGCAAAGGCGGCAAGTTCCTCCTCAAAACTGTGGGAGGAGCCTGTGAGGTCAGAGGCGGCGTTACAGGCGGAGCCGTGCTACTGCGAGTACGTCGCACCGCAGCCCTCCTTCCCAGGGTGGGCCTGGCCGTAGAGTATGGCGTGGGGTGTTGAAGTGAGTAAGGTGCAGACCTCGAGGGGTTGTAAGGGGTCGTGGGTGCAGAGGCAGATGAGACTGGTGGGGGAGGGGGAGGAGGAGGAGGTGGAGGGGGAGGAGGCATTGGGAGTTCAGTCGGGTCAGGGGTGTCGCTGTGTTCTCCAGGCTCGGGTTGCTCGTGGTTGATGTTGATCTCAAGACTGAAGCGGAACTCGCCGCTGTTGGGGTTGGTGCGGCTGACGGCGCGCCAAGTTTGGTTTCCACTCTGCCCGCTACGTGTGGCATTTCCTGTCCGCCGAAATGTGTTCAACCACTCTAGCAGAGAGTCTCCATTAGACGTCTCAGCACCTGGCTCGACTGGACCTGGAAAAGAAAGATTGTATTATAAATGTCATATTAATATTAATGAATACAAGGGTAATTAATAAAACATTAATTCGGTTTGTTTTTACTTGCAAAACCTAATTTGATTCATTGATATTTTAAAATTCACAGATGTATCACAATTCTGAATCAATTTTAAAAAAATCTACATTTTAATTGTGATTATTAAAAAGCATTCAGAGGACAAAACATTAAGTATCAAGTGTTAAAAAAAGACTAAAAAAGCCGATATAAGTTTTTTATATATATATAAATTGATACGTTTGTTTGGCAAAGATGCATGAATTAGTTAAAAATTGACAGTAAAGACATTAATAATGTTAATAATATATAATAAATAGTTAATAATATTATATTATAATATATATTTTTAGTTCAAATAAACTTTGTTCTTTTGAACTTTCATCTTCAAAAAAATCAGTTTCCATAAAATATTAAGCAGTAAAACTTAATAGTAATAAATGTTTCTTGAGCATCAAATCAGCATGTTAGATTTCTGAATGATTTCTAAAGAATGAAGTAATGGCAGATTCAGCATTGCCATCAGGAATAAAATACATTGTAAAATAGAAAACAGTTCTTGTAAATTATAATAATATTTTACAATATCACTGTTTAAACTTTATTTTTGATCAAAACAAATGCAGCCTTGGTAAGCAAAAAAAAAAAACAACAACGTACCAACCACAAACTTTTAACGGTAATCTAAATTTACAAAAGAATCACAATCGTTGACTGACTACGTTTGTGTTAACTCTGTCTGACATTACATTTATGCCAGCTTCCTTCTATTTCTATTGATGGGTTAGATCAGATGTTTTAGTATGGCTGCATAATGCTATATATCTTCACAACCTAAAGATTTGTGCCCTACACTGTTGCTAAAAAATAAAAATGCAGATGCATGCTGAATGGTTTTGTAATTACATTATGACTCTGGCTGTGAGGCATTTCTTTTATACAAAACAAGCTGATCATTCAAATTAAAATAATTAGAGCAGCTTAGTAACAGAATTCGAAAGCAATCTTCCGCATCCTCACCGCTACTGCCCTCGGCCTCACTGCTCTGTGGGCGGGGTTCAGGGCGTGGCTGTGATGACACTCGCTCCTTCGCACCATCCAGACGCTGCCTCAGCTCTTCTGCAGTGACTTCACCTGTAATCAAAGACACACCTAATGTAAGTTCCATATCTATTGTTCATTTGAGAAAAAGGCTCAAAAGTTTAGGAATTTCCTCATCCTTTGAATTTTATTTTTCAGTGTAAGGGTAAGAAACTTCGATAAGTAAATAAAAATTAATATAACATTGCAACAAAGACAATTTACTGAAAATAAGACATATTGACAAAAGTTTATTGGACTATGTGCCATAAACAAGGTGTGAATCTATCAAACGGTCAGATTTGGTGTGTTCTTACCAGGTGTACCCAGAAGATTGCTGTCTCTCATTAGTCTGTACTCCTCCTCACTCAGTTCATTAATGAAGTGATAGTATGCCTCCTCCCGCCGAAGCCGCTCCGCTTGACGATGACGTTCGTCTCGGCCGCCGGGAGGGTCCATCACCACAGAAACCGCTGCTCACAGATATGGCAAAGCAAAAAAAAAAAGAATCACAATAATTACTCTTAAATAGATATTTATTCTGCCTGGTTGTGGCTTTATCTCTGTTCAGATAAAGACACATCTCCAACGGTGTAGTTTACATTTTATAAATGTCAAGCAAATAAAAAGTAGATTATGCATAACCTGTCCATGGACTTTATTATTAACACTTTAATATCTATGTTTATAAGGGAATGTGTAGAATCTTTGGTCCTTTAACTGGTCACCATTTATTTTGTTTCCATTTTAATCACATTTGATTAATTTAATGTTTAAGAGTACAATGTCATGTCGAAATATAAATCCATTTAAGATCCATGCATAATAGTTGTAAACAAATAAGCAAATTAGCAAAATGCTGGTTCCAATTATAGAATAGTAGTATTATGAATATAGATAGATAGACAGACATATTCCCTTAAAGTTTCTCATGTCAACTACTCTATGTCAACAGCAATGTAAAAGCATCATTATACCCCCTGCTAATTATCAATTTACCCTAATGAAATAATTGTCAGTAATAATTTAGAAGCTAGCTCCATATAAAAATCCATGATACTGAAACAGCAAGAAAATGTACTTTCAAAATATCGCTAGATTTATATAAAGAGAACCTGAGACATAAACTTCACTGTCTAAAACAGCCACCATTAAGAGTCAGCACGACAAAATGAACGCCTCAGAAAAAGGCAATCCGTAAATCCTTCATGTGGAAGCAAAACAGCTCTGACACATGTTGTAAACACACCGAGGGCCACGTGACGTTGACAAGAGTGTCAAATCAGTTCATATAAATAACATTCCAGTCATTTCAAACAATCTTGCTGCTCTGTATAATACAGTAGGCCACAGACAACACCGCAGAACAAGCCAAGGACCAAAACTGACGCTGTCATCCTCACAACCAATCAGCGTCCGAGAAGCGATGACTGACAGCCAGGCTGCCCACTCAGCATCGCTCAGAGGAGGGACATGACAAAGAAAAAGTCGGGCTCCATGTCAGCTAGCAACCTATCCCAGAGACAATAAAAAGCCTAGGCTAGCACTCTACACAGGGTGAAATTCATATCTAAAAATTTGTCACTAAACTGTCACCATCGTCTGTCATCGGGCAAACGGAAGTCATGCGGCAGAGCGAGCTGTCATATTAAATGCGCAACACCTTTGATGGTGTCGACAGATTGCTGACAGGCTAACTGTGGGCCAATGAAAGGTTTAGATCATTATTTTGACAACATAAGGGAAAATGTCAATGACGCAAGAATGTAACAAAATATGTCATATAGTAACACTGTCCAGAATGAGAACAAAATAAAAAAACGAAGCTAGTAATAGATGTGTAAGTACCTGAAACAGCAGCTGTAATATGGACGAGTTCTCTTTCCTCTCCGCTCTGATTACAATGTAGCCAAGATGGGACCAACGGAGCTACACAAACAACTGCCCGGACAACTACCATGTGCGCAAAACCAGTTCCCACAGTAATACAGTCATACCACTATGATAATAACTATATTAATAACATTTGTTTACCATTTTTTTTTTCAATCCTTAAAGTAGCTGAAAAAAGGAGTGTCCCAAAAATATTCCCTAAAAGTATAATCAAATTATAATCAATGCAATATACAGTATAATAATTTACCCCCTATAAAGTTGTTTATGCATATATAATACACGTGAGTATATAATACATATATGTGTGTATATATTATTATATTTATATATATATAACATACGTGTGAGTATACTGTATATATACATATTTATAGAATAATACATACACATATTATGTAAACAATATAAACATTGTTTATAATCTTTGACATTTTATCTAGCTGAACAGCAAATATACCATACAAAAAACTTAATAGACTATTAATAATTAATAATATCGAGTGTTTTATATGAATAATTCAATCAATAATTGTGTATAAATATAATATTTATATTTAAAATAATATTTGTTATTTTGTTTTATAATACTTTATTATAATGTTCTATCTATTTTTTATTGTTTGTATAATTTAGCCAGATATACTTTGTATACGTGTTCTTAATTATATATTGTAAATTAACATTCATCTATGTATTTTATCTAAATTCTAATATGTACGCATGAAAAACAGAAAAACAAAGGCGTTCTTTAGCAAAGAGTTAAAATCCACGTGGTTCGCCACAAAGCCCTCGCTGTCTGTGTGGTTGGTTGGTTGTGACATTCACGACGTTTTGCGACATTGCCGTACGTGGACGCTCAACTCTCCCGGGTGAGATACCGGCTGAGCGGCGCAGTTGCACAGAAATATCATAGAAAGCGACTGCTAGTCTAATAACACTCTGCACTTTTCCTCAGATCAAAAGCACGCGTGCTTCATACGTCGTTTCAGCTTCCCTTAATCGCGCGAGGTAGATGTGGACTCTTTAGTTGAGCTGAAAGCGACGCGAGGGAAGGCAACTAATTGTCTAAACGGGGCTTGAAGTAAGTTGCCTCCCCAGCGGCGCTTTGAAGGGAAGCCACAGCCCGGATCCCCGGAATAACGGTGAAAATGGACTATGACTTCAAAGTGAAGCTCACCGGGGAGAGAGAACGAGTCGAGGATCTCTTTGAGTACGAGGGATGTAAAGTTGGACGGGGGACATATGGCCATGTGTACAAAGCAAAGAGGAAAGATGGGTGAGTTTGCAGGATGGACTTGTGCAGCGATATGAGGCCTGCGCTGCCGTCGCGTTCTGCTTTCACGAACCAAAACAGACCGTATTAACCGGCCCCGTGTTTTAGAGAAACAGCTCTCTTGTCTCCAAAGCGAGTTTGATATTCACAGTTCACACTTTCAGCAGAGGCTTATTTCGAGGGAAATGTGCATGTACGTCAGCAGGCAGGAGTGTTGTTGTGATTGACGTGCTGCTTATGCAGTTATGATGGGCACAGGTGCATTTGATGCAGATTTCGATTTACAATATGTTGCGTTTTTTTTCTTTGTGATGAGGAAAATTATATTTACCTCCAGTTAAAACTACACTTTGCTAAAGGCATGTTTACTCAACTGATCCAAAAGACACAATTTTGCATAAAATCAGCTCTAAACTATTCAACTATTCAGCTGTGGCTCTATCAAAAGAGCCTCAGATTCTACTTTACAGTCTATGTGAATAAAATGCAGCATCATAGCTTGTTTCCTCTGTCATCATGGCAGAGAATTCTAATGAATGGTTAGATTTAATTCAATTTTCTATATTCATGATGTTATATTTCAAGGATTTTCATAATTCATAACACCCATAACACATTTTTGTCTGCCATCGTTCCTTGGCGGAAGTAATCGCATACAGAGTGAGTATCCAGCCTTCCTCATACTTGTGATGTAATTTGTCAGCTGTGTAAAGATGTCTTTCAATTTCATGTCAACACCTGAATCCATTGCGGATGTTATTGACGTCACTTTTGAGATATTATTATGGAGATCAGGGTTCACTGAACAGTTTTCTTTGGACTTTCAGGTGTCTGCAGGGTTTCTACTTCTCATTTGCTGCTCTATTGAATTATTTCTGCATTTACACTGGTTACGTCAGTGACTAGATGTCAAGGATTATGAAAGGTTGTTACAGCCTTGACAAACCGTTCGTCATATTGGTTTGTGCCAACAAAGTTCCAAGACAAAAAAATAAGACTTGAGTATAAATGTATAAATTAATTGCATTTATTCATGCTTACAGAAGAGGATAGGCGGAGAAAGGGAAATCAGAGGTCTGTTTCGGGGGGGGGGAAAGGGTGTTTAAATTCTTTTGCCCTCAATGTTTTTGCTTACTTGCTGATAGGAAAAGATTCTGCAAAACTCGCTCACACCTGGGACTAAAACACAGGAATTTGTCTGCAAGACAAATGATTCTCTTCAAAGTTCAAACACAATAATCAAAGAATTAAAGAGCTGAACATAACAGTATGACAATGTAACATAACCAGTTTCTAAGATTAGATATTAGTTTTGTTTTCATGAATTTACTTTAATAGACTGCACCACACCCATGCTAGTCTTTATTTAATTCTTATGATTTTCATGATGCGAAAAAGGCAAGTTGTAAAAATGGAATTTTACTGCATAACTTGAATGTCACAGAATTTAGATGAATAAATCAGTGATGTGAACTCAATGAAATTGAGATAGGGATTAGTCTCTGTGGATATGAAACCACTATAAAGACTCACTCTTCTGCATCTGTCTGAGTTTCGTCTGCTATACCGAAGTACATGACGGGACTCTTGTAGTGTTTTCAGGACATGAACGCATTCATCTCCAGAGCTGCTCGGAGAGTCACTTCACCAGCATTTCACCATTTCATTTGATACAGCTATCTTCAGATACTCAAAGGTCTACAGTATAACCGGACAAAATAAGAATTTGGTTTAACTTGGCTTGAACAAACTATGACAATATGAGAAGAAATATATTATTGTTGTACAGTAGAATGTACTTCTTAAACTAATACAGTTTATCAAAAACATTTGTTTTAAATAATATCACACAATGTTTTGCCCATGTTTGAATTTGAATAGTAAACCTGTGCAGTGCTTTGCCAAAAAAAAAAAAAAAACATTTTATTTTAGAATTAAACATTACATTTTAGAATATGAATTAAATTGCTATAAATTGTATGTGTTTATTTGATTACCACTGTTATAAATTTGTATACTTAAAACAGACTACACAGAATCTTTAAAAACCCAAGTTACATAGACCATAAAAATGATTAAATTGGTAAAATTCAAATATATAAATTTTGTTGATTTGGGTATATCCTTGCATTTAAACCATTACAACATAATCTAGAAAAATCTAGGGTTTGGAACGACAAATAAAACTATTTTTTGTAACTACCATTTCATATGGAACTAAATTTCTAATTCCAGTTTAATTGAAACCATGGTTTACTCTTGGAATGAAATAATATAAATCGATGATTTAAACAGTTTTTCATTTACTGATTAGAAATTAGAGCTGCAACATCAGTGAATGAAAACAAAAGACTTTATTGAAATTAAAAAAAGCTATACTTTTACTGGTGTTTTTTTTGCTGGGAAACTGACTGAGAATAACACAATGTCTGAAGGACATCGCTGGTAATATTGAGGCATATGAAATAGCATTCCTCCCAATTTTCATAAAATTTTTATTGCATTTAGTGCTATCTCAAGAGATTAGTTTTAGTGCTAGGCACAACAACATTTTGTTCACACCAGTTGCGAACTATCTTGGCGGAGGAAGAATGGATCTGCTGATGTGTTGAGTTGGTTCTGAAGTGCTGGACGCGTCAGACACCCAAAGCTGGGCTATTGAAGTCGAGACTGTCTGGCGGCCAGAGGCTCACTTGAAGGTCCAAAGTGTTTAAAAATGTTTTTTGTTCACCATAGAAGCTGGTTGTTTATGACTGGTTTACAGCTAATTTGTTCTCCAGAAACTGGACAGGGCGTTGTGAGATTTTTATAGGCTCCCCCCCCCCCCCCCCCCCTTCTATTACCTTCCATGTCTCACCAGGAGACTTTTGACTTTACAAGGGTGTGCTATTATTGAAAGAGTTAAAATCTTGGATTGTAATGGACTGAAGAGTAATTGTGGTTGCTGATATGTCTATTTGCAGGAAGGATGATAAAGATTATGCTCTGAAGCAGATTGAAGGCACAGGGATCTCTATGTCCGCATGCAGAGAGATAGCAGTAAGTACATCAAGCTTTAAATGTGTTCCTGTCAAGAGGATCTTCTCCAAGTAGTTATGGCACATGCAAATCTAGGTGGAATAAATTCCTACAAATACATTTGCAGCGTGTGAATATTTTAGAGTGTTAAACTGTGAATAGCTCTATGAATTTGTAAGTGCAATATAAGTGCTCTTTTATTGAATGCATGCTCATTCTCTCATAATGCAGTAAAGGACAATTCACTTTTCAAAATAAAACTGTCATTATTGATTCACTCTCATGTTGTTTTAAACCCGACGGTTTCAATATAATGAAAGAGAATGAGAACAAGGGCTGTGAAGTTCTAAAATAATAAAAAAAAAGATTATAATGTCATATAAGTGGTCCATACACATGATCACTAAAATCATGTGACGGCTTTGTGTGAGTAGCAGGCTGAAAATCAATCTCTCCTTGACTGAAACTGCAACTAGATTTGTCAGATTAATGAACGAATCTGCTCTCATCAATGAATCTGGTCATCCAGTCCACAAAACTGAATCATTTGTTTGCAACTGATCCATTTCTTGATTATTAACTTTATCAAGTATTACTTTTACAAGAATGAACTATTAACTGATTATTTGTAGCTTTTATACAAATATATATTTTTTTTTCACGTAGCTGTCAGATGTTTTTTTTTTTAATGCATTTTTATAATGATTTTTTATAATGCTTTAAGCACCCATTCACTATTTCCTGGAAAAGATCGACCAGCACTTT